CTCTGCAGGCTGTGCCAGTGAGGGGAGGTGGGATGGTGGTGCTTTGGTCCCAAGGGTGCCCAGCCCCGGGCAGGCAGTGCCAGTCCCTGGGAGCTCAGGGAGGGAGTGTAACCCTGTGCTCTGCTGCTGCTGGAGCAGCACCTCTGACAGAGGGGCAGGACAGTAAACAGGAGAGCAGATCACTTTTGTAAAATTCCAGCAATATGAACTGGAGCAAGACCTGGGACAGCCTTTTATTGGATACACTTTTGGGGAGGTTTTCCTTCCAAATTGGAGGAAACTTTGTCGAGAAAGTCTGCAAATGGCTTCTGGTGCATTTGTTTCTATTTCTGTCCAGTTAATTTTTTAATGATGTCTACACTTGGTAGTAGTACATAACGTGCACAGACAGTGAGATGCATTCAGTCCCTAATTAATTTTGGAGGAGGTAGAATAGCTGCACATTATACTTTTGTATTCTGATTTATTACACTCTTTCTTTGAAAATCTGATTACTAAGTACCTTGGTAAATTGAATCAAATAAGAAGTATCTTCTAATACTAATGGAGTAAATAACATTTAGTTGTTAACTGATTAATGTAGAACCTCAAAAATCTGTGTAAATAGCATCACCAAGAAAAGCATAAATCTTTGATTTACGTGTATTTAAATCATTGCAGCATGTATTCACTTGTATAGCATTTTCCAGTAAAAAGGACTAGGGAATTTTTCAGATGCATGCTTCAAAAGTGGACCAATTTCTCATTTGTTGGTTTCTAATAATTGTTTTAATTAAGATCAGACCTGCACAATATCAGTGTTCAGTAGCCAGGCCAGAACTCTTTGCTCCCTAGTTGGTCATTTAATGGGTCTCAAACTTTAGCCATGACATGCAGAAAGCAGGAGTTTGACTTTTCTGGAAACAGGGAACAGCTGCCTCTGCATAATTCCAGTTTATATTTCTGGTAATTGTACAAAGCTGCTTTGAATTTTCTGTTAAATTAATAGCAGTCCTAGTATCAGCTACTACATTTTTACAGGTGCTGTGTAGTATATTTAAACAGTCTGGGCCACTGAGGCACTAGTTACTAGGGAGAGCAAAATTGCAGACCCTGGCACATGGTTCTTGGAGCATCCATGAGCACAGCCTGGTCTGTTTGTGGGCAGGAGAATTGTTGCTCCCTCTGGAATCCTCCCTTGCTCTCCAAGTCAGGATTTTCAAGGTTGTGTGGGGTTGGTTTTTTTTGTTTTTTGTTTTTTTCTCCTTTCCTCTCCTTCGTCACCTTGGGCACTTTTCTCCTTTCCTCTCCTTCGTCACCTTGGGCACTTTTCTCCTCCAGTCTTTTTCCCACCTCTGCCTTAACAGAAGTTTCCCAGGGAGAGCTAATTTGTTCCAAATATAGATGCTTGTCAGGTTGCCCACCTTTTGTCTGGTGGAGGTGGAACCCTGAGGTATTGATGTAGATTTGTTTATATAATTGAGGTGAAAAACAGCTGGAAAAATCTCTTGTTATGCAGTCTCTTATAAGAATCTTTAAAGATCCATTTTCCTAGGAAAGGTCATGACTTTTCTCAGAACAAAAATTAAGCACTTCCACATCCAAGGAAGGTTTATACTAAGGTTATGTCAGGGGTAAAGCAAAACTTTTCCCACAGAGTTTGGAGGATTCCTCCACCGCTTCTTCCACATGAAGGAATTGCTGTACAAAGCTGCTGGGGAAGTTGTGGGAAGAGGCCAGTGTTTGTTGGTTGCAGGAATTCTGTTGATTCATCAGTCAGCAAATCTTGTTTAAGAAATAAATTTTCACTTTACCTTTCCATGTTCCTTTTTCACATTACCTTTCCAAAGTGTGTCCACTTCGCATGTAGAACATAGATTTTTTTTTCACCCCCACCTTTCTAATCCAATTTTCTGCCCTGAGTTTGATTGATACAAGTTATTTTGACAGTAATTCCTGGGGTCTTTTGACAACAATAATATCAATAATTAAAGAAAAAAATCACCTTCTTTTACCAGAAGAAAAAGAATGGATTTCTTCTTCATAAGTAGTGCAAAGCTTTCTATCTCCATCTGTACTGCCAACAAGAAGGAGTTGAAACTCTTGATGCTTCTTAGAGAAATTGGATTAAGTGGAGTAGATCCTATTCCCAGAAATATCTCTGCTCATTACAAGTCAGTTAAGTGGGTTTACATTTGGTAATTTTCAAGTCAGAACCCGAAATGAGGGACCCAGTGGTTTCTCATGTATCAAGATTCAAGAGGCTGCTATCATAAAATTCAGGAATGATTTTGCTTGATCTATTGGGGTTTTTAATGACTTATCCTCTAGGCTGTGCAAAAGAAAGCAGTTAAGAGTGCAGCACTGGCTGATTTTCTGATCTGCTGGCTGCAAAGCTCATGTCTGTGCATGTACTGGACATCATCTCACAGCTGATAATAACACTTCCCTCTGAAAGGAAAGAGGAGCTGCATAGACAAAGTGGTGACCACTTGTTGGAAAGAGGATTACGAGATTTTAGGATGAATATTGGGGTATAATGTTGCTAGTATGACAAAGAAGAATGTACATTCCAGTACTGAGTATTTAGATGGGGACAGCAGTCCTGGGTGAACAACATAGGTATGACATTTATCCTCCACTCTTACATACAAGTCCTTTTCCTTCCTGTCTACTAAAGTAGGTGTCTATTTTTGTCACCTATAAAAGATACTAGAATTGGTAGGTCTTCTTTCATGAGATGTGTTGGAAGCTGTTTGAGCTTTTAATTGCAAATGCAGGTAATGCTCTGCCCCTGATATTCAGTCCTTTCAACTGCTTAGATAATTTTAGGGCAGAACCTCATTTGTGTCCCTCCTGTTAAAATCTGCAAATACTATGTTGGTCTATATTGCAATCCAGTGTAAAGCCAGTGCTGGGATTTTGTTTCAATTAATCAGTTTGCTTACCAGACCCTATTTTCTCCCCAAAGAACAGAGCAGCTCCTAAGGACGGCCTTCCTGCTTTTTCTATTTTTTTTTCTCCTTTTACCTGTCCTACTCAAGACACAAGAAATTAACATCCAACCGTGTGGAGAGGTGAAAGAGGTGGGATTCATAAGGATGGGCTGTGGTTTGCTCTCCCACTCGGTCTGCAGCGCATGAAATTCCTTAAATCTTTTTTAAATCCAGTATGTGGAAGTTTAGAAATTAGAACCAGATTATCTCAGCTATGAAAATTTGCTGAATTAGAGGAAACTTCGGGGGTGGAGTCTTATTCAAGTACTTAAACTCACAGGTGTAGATTACAAGAACAAGGTTGCGTTACCAAACTCAAGGAATCTATGACTGATATTATTAAAAAATAATCAGGTAAGCAAAGATTCATCTTTCTATTCTGTATGCTTTGCTGCTAGTATGAAGCACAGGGTTTGGCATTTACTCATAGATGCACATATGGTGATTCCAGTTGACTCAAAATAGCTCCATTCTATGAACCCAAAGCTGAGATATTTTTTTGTGTGAATTGGAACTCCACAGCTTTTCCTCAGTTCTGTCTCTTTGACTGTAGGATACATAGCACCAAATCTGCAGGCTTTAAATCTATCTGCAGGGAAAAATCTGTTCAGAACAAGTTACAAACTAATTTGCACTTAGTTTGTCATAGGAAATATAAAGACTTTTCTTGTGCATTGGTTTCCTGGATTGACCTAGGCAAGCAAGGATATTTGCAGACTGTGTTTTGGTAACTGAGTATGCTGTTATGTGTTTTTAAAATAGTGTTACAAATGGACAGGCGCTCTTAGTGTATTTGATAGAATTAAAGAAAAACTTGAAGATGTTGATTATCATTACTATTTTGTGATTTGTGTAGGAAGTAGTTATCAAATTACACTTACTTTGCAGTATTATATTTGCAACTGGACATAAATATTTTGGGTTTTGTTTTGCTGTCTTCAGCCTGTAATGTTTTTTAACATTTATCTAAATACTGTACAAATCACATGTCAGTCAACAAAATGAAACAGTATCTCTATTCAAATTGTGTTTACTGTAAAGGTTCTGAGCTTCTTAATAAATTTTATATCAGCATCTGGATTGTCTGGAAAAAACATCTCAATAACCAATAATCCTGGATATCCTTTGTTGCATTTTTGCATCTTTTTATTTCCAGTTTGTTCTTTCATCTGTAATCCTTTCCACTCCATTAGATTCAGTAAATAGGATCTCTTACAGGCCTGAACCATAGCCCATCTTTTATCTTTCTTTTCCAAGCTTTGCAGCAATTTTCAGTACTCCAGATGTGTGTAGTACCTCATCTGTCACCAAACAGTGTTTTTTCAGCTCTGGAGCGAGCAGTGGTTGTAGGCAGGCTTTAATCTCCCCTGCGAGGGAGCAGGAGGGAGCTGGGCACCCCCAGGTGTTCTCAGGGCTCTACTGGCTCTGCTCTTAGAGCTCTGCCTGGCCTCCAAATGCTTCCTTGGGCCTGGTGCTGTTACTTATTCTCAACTCTGAAAAAGAGGGAAGATGGAAAATCATCAGTTTTGCAAAAATGTGTAAATCCTCATTCCAGGGCAATTATTTTCTTGAATAAAGTAAAGCTATCGTCTGTGATTCCGGTAGCCCAAAATAGGGCTTATGGGTTGTACTCACACATTATTAACTCCAACAAAGAGAAAAACTGTTCTGCTGACAGCCATTTGTGAGCTTTCATGGACTATTACTCCTCCACACCTGCTGGGCTGCATATTTCAGACTCTTTGGGAAAGATACCTGCTTGTTTATAGAAACAGGAATGCCAACAAAATGTTTATTATGACTACTTGTTAACTCTGTAATGCAGAAATGTCTTGGATGTCCAATGAAACTGTTACTGCTGCTAGATAGAGCGAGCAGGATGGATATGACAAATGCTGATTTCTTAGGTTTTTTTTGGTTTTTTTTTCCTTAAAATGACTATTTAAGTTTTTAGGTGTCATCATGGTCCATCTCCCCCTCCACAGCAAATAAAAGTATAATGCATTTCCTTTGTTGATTTTTCAGGCATTCAAAAGGCATGTTCTTGCTGATTCAAGATCAAACAGTTCTGTCCAGGACTCTACACTGGGGATAAGGACATGGGACTCCTCCTGCCAGATTCCAGCTGGTTCATCACAACTGACATCTTGGCTGACAACTGTGAAAAGGATCTTCGGATTATTCTATTTTATTTTTGTGGGAGACCACAATCCCCAAACTCTAGGACATATCAGGTACTAAATCAAACACTAAGCTTTTCCATAACATTATTGGATTGTTACTTGTTTCTTATGAAGGAGTTTAGGCATTCAGATCTTACTCTTTATTTCTTATAGGAAATGGAAAATCCTTGGTTTTACATCTTGCAGTAGCTGAGTAATGACAAGAAGTTGTATTTCTTATTTCCTATGGAAAATTTGGAGTTTAATTATTAGTTGTCTTTACATAGTATTTTAAATTATCATTATAAATTGTAATTGTTGATTATTACTGTAATTGCTGTGGTTATTATCCTAATTACCAAATTGTTTCTTTCTTTCATCATTGCTGTTTTTGAGAATGCTTAATTTTATTAAGACTAAATTCCTGCATTCAGAATTTGTCCAGTTATTACCTGTCAACAAGGAAACTTTAAAAGTTCATGAAATTTATGAATGTTAGCACACTTGGGGTGTTGTGATTCATCTATTTACTTCCAACCCTTTTAAGATAAATCTATGTGTAATTTCCTTTGAGAAAATCATGCCTTGTTTCTGTTGGAGCCTGGTTTGATTTGGAGTATCTGAATGTTCAGGTGTTTATTTTTAAAATGTGGAAGAGAAAATTTGTGAGCATTATCTAAGAGTGTAGCTCTCAATTCTTGTTTGTGTGGATGTCTGCTGTTTCACACCACTGATAAAAGTGGTTAAAAAGAAATGATTCCTTCTAATACAAAACAGAAAAAAGTGTTGTATCAGAGGGGGATCCTTTTGCAGCAAAATCATATTTATTTTGGGTAGCTGTTTAGGTATGGGTGGCTTTTTAATTAATTTTAAATTACTCAATAATTCACTTCTTCTTTGTCCTAAAGGTTCCATATTTCGTGTAGAATTTTAAAATAACCTTTTCTAATGAGGATGTCTGATATTCTTACTGTAAAAGATGAAACTGATGCAATGAAGGGTTCAGAAGCTGAATTTAAAGATACAGACCCAGTTGAAAACCTAAAAAAATCAGGAAGTCAGGAAGAGATTCAAGTGGAAAAGGATGAAAATTGTCCTGATAACAAAAACAATATGCCGGTAAGCAGCTTTTTACTTTATTTTTCACTAGTATATCACTTTAAATATGTCTGTTGTTTTCCATTCTCTTGATCCTCTTATGTTTCTTCGGTACAGTGAGAAAAACTTGGTTGGTTTTAGGGAAAATATGATGATTATTGCTTCCTCTTTCCTCCTTTGCCCCACTTATCTGTACTCATGTAAATATGACTCAGTAATTTTTAATTCTGTGAAGTAGATGAGGGGTTTTGCTGGGAAGTGGACAATTTGCCTGTGTTTGTGTTTCCCTGAGTGCATATGTGAAGTCTTCCTTTGTAGCAGAGCAAGGAACAAACTCAGTTTGGCTTTTGCTGCTGCTGAATCCTGACAGAGTTTGGAGCTGGGCTGTGTGTGCTGCGTTGCTGCTTTGAACATGGTGCTGCAGCTCAGCCAAGCCTGTCTGCCCTGGGCAGGGGTGGCCAGCTCAGGGCTTTTGAGCTGTTGCACTTTACAGGTGGCTGAGGTGTAGATTTTCCAGCAGAGCTGTTCAGCATAAGGCTGAAGTGATCAGCTGTAGGTAATCCAAATCCCCAGGAGGCAGAGGGATCCAGAGCTCCTAAGGCCAGCAGGTCTGGGTGCTGCCCCTGCACCTGCAGAATGAGCTGAGGAGCATCATCCTGCCTTGGTGAGCAGCAGATACTCCCTGCACCTTTTCTTCTCTGATCTTCACTGCGTGACAGCTTTGGTAGGTGACTTCTAGGTAGGAAAGCTGAGGCAGTTCCTTGTGCACACACTGAAAAGCTGAGGCATATAAATGGATGGCTTTTGGAGGTGGGAGAAGTGAAGTACCTGTAAGGAAGTCATGGCATCACATTTCAAGTGAGAAGGAGGCAAAGCAAATAGTGTGAAAATACCTTGTGTCAATGGATAACACACTTAAAAGGAAGGGTTAGGAATTTGTGGCAGCATATTTAATCTAATCTAAGATTTAGGTATGGGACAAGAGAGCTCACTCCTGGCTGAGGCTGCCCACTTGGTCACTGAGGACTAAGCAGCTCACATGAGGGGAGGAATTTAGGAAAGCAACTGAAAATTTCTGACACAATCTACAGAACAGGCCAGATTTGTAAAAGGAAAACTAGAATCTTATGTTTGGCAAAAGCTATAGTTGTCTACAGGAATTTTGTGTCTGTGGGTTAATGCTAAACAATTTTTTATATGAATCCTGATTGGGATCTGAGGGATCTCTTGTGGATTGCAAAAACAGGACAGTAGCTTATTAGATTCTTGTTATTGAGATTTGAGTAAAAGGTTCTTTGGGGAGTAGTTTTGTTCAAGACTAACAATTCAGTATTCCACTGAGTGAAGTAAGCTTTATCTGCTGTGTTAAATTGCTTCCAGATAAATCTTGTAGACCACTGCAATAACAATAGTTTTACACTTTAATATCTGCTGGCTTTATTAAGGTTGGCATCAGTGTAAATAGATAATTTTATGGAAAAAATAAATCCTTGAAATGAAATATTTCTCCTGTAACTGAGAAATAACTGTAATCCTGTATATGAGAAATAACTGCTCCTGAAAAGCTGGGAGATATTATAGCTGAGCTGGTATTTTCTTTAATTTACAGAATATTCTAGTACTGAGCCTTAAAAATTCATCTACGATTTAGTTATTTTCATACAGTTCAATAATTTGGAAAAATCTCATTCACATTTTCTCATTTAACAATTTTTAGTGTGGAAATCTCTGTGAGACTCAAGTGGCAAGTAAGAAATAAGCCTTCCTGCAAACAACTGCTGCTGTCTCATCAGAGTGCAGAGGAATGAACCTGCCAGTGCTGGCAGAAGCTGTGGCTGGCAGGGGGTTCATTGCTTGGCTGGGTGCTTGTTCAGGGGCAAGAGCTGGTGGTTGAAATGATTATCTCACATCCACAAAATGGACTGGACACTGCGTGGTGAAGGCTGTTGGATAGAAACAGCTCTGTTGTCAGTGCATTTAGTGTGGTGTCGTGGAGTCTCCATCACAATCAGAACATTGCTGTTACATGAGTAGTTTAATTAAAAACTGAGGCCGAGGATGCAGATTGCCAGAGTGGCAGGAAGACAGAAAGTTAACAAATGGAACCTGCTACTGTGAGCAAGCCCCTTGCAACAACTGAAATCAGCAGAAGTTAATGTCACTTGTTCTGTGGAGGCTGCCAGTGCAAATATGTCTCATATTTGAGGATTTCCCATTTAAAGCATGTTTTATGCTAAAATACAAAACAAAAATTTGGGGTTGTCCATAGTAAAAAAACCCTTGTGGAACAGTAGCAGTTAGCAAGTTTTTATCTACTGGATGGGTAAGCAGTTTGAAATTTCAGTGGACGTAGTACTTGTCATTAAGTGCAGGTTAAATGTTACTGTGGTGGTGGGAAAAAGAGCAAAGAATTTGCTGAGAAATATTAGAAAAGATTGTCAGAAACTTACTGGAATTTGTTGTGTACTTCTGTTTACTATCTGAGTGCTTCAGAGGATGGGTTGGTCATGGGGGTTGCATGGGTGCTGGATTTGGCTCTCCTCCCCAGTGGCAGAATAGGTTTGGTACCTACTGACAAACTACAGTCACACTCCTCAGTGACTTCATCACTCTGACTTCTTTAAGCCAAGGAGGAAACTTAAGTGATTTCTCTTCTGTCTAAACTTGACATTCCATCAATGGAATGCTCAGTGATGAATTTAATGCTCAATTTATGAAGTAGATCATCTAACCATGTCCCATCATCAACTTTGATCTTAGCTACACCTTCCTTCCATTGCTGTATGCTCTTATGAATGGATTCTGAACTATCAGATAGGTTCATGCAACACATTCCATCGTGGGCCATTGAATTCAGGCATGTTTCTGGAACAGCACCATTCAGAAACTGGTGGTTATATTTTGAGATGTAACTGTGCTTGTAAATTCCTGATTATTTGGAGGTTATGCATTAATAACTGATTGGCTGCTATGTCTGTTCTTGGAGATACAATGTGAGTGAGGAAAATACCTAATTATTGTACATGGCCAGCACTCCCAATTTCTTGAAGCAGAGCAAAAGTAGAGATACTGATACAGAGAAAATTTCTGAACTGGCATATTTACAGTGAGGTTCAAGTGTCATTTGAATGGCACTGGAGACAAGGGGCACTGTTATGAAAAGTTCTTTCACAGAAGTCATGTGCACTTCACTGTGGTGGGTTTTGTGATCAAAAGGGTTTTGGTTCTCCAGTCACTGTTGTCTCCCACCTGTTCATCTTACCCGGGCTGGTTGACAACCAAAGAATTCAGAATTAGCTGGAATACAGGGTGTGTGTTGCCTCTGTCCCTGGGTGGTGAGACAGGCAGTGTCATCCACTGTAAGGACAAAGCTGCAGGAAATACTGACAATAAATTAAAGATCCTGGATTTATCTTGCAAGATAGTCCCTTATGTTTATTATTAGGAAGACCTCTGTTTTAAAACCCAAAAAAGCCTTATGGCATGAGTGCAGGGTTGTACCCATCTACTGTATGATAAAGGCAAGGCAAATGTGTTGAGTATAATCCTGATTTTGTTTTATGCTAATTAAGAAGATATCCATGTCCTTAGGGGAATTAGATATTTTTTTTTACTTAGCAAACTGACATCTCTCTTCCTGCAAGTATCTTCCTTCCATACTAGCACAACCCTTGAGCTTCTCTCTCTGTTTCACAGCTGAAATTCTCCAAAGTCTTTCCTTGCCTCTTCCCCAGCTGTTCTGGTCTTGTCAGGATTTACCTGTCTTTGTCTCCAAAATATGGGATGTCATAATTTTGAATAGATAAATGATTGGGCAGATTCTCTTATTCTTCAGCTGCCTCCATGTCCAAGGGTGAAACTATTTTTCCATCAGTCATCCTTTACTGTATCATGGAAAACTGCTGTCGCTGCTCACTAATGCAGGACAGCAAGTAACCATGGACCACACTGTTCTTTCCCTCAGCATTACAAAGCTATCCATGGTTCTTGGGACTGGAGCATTTGACTGGATTTAAAATTGAGACCTAATTTTACAGAAAGGTAAAAAACTGAATGTCCTTAGAACACTGTTTGTCCAGGTTTGTCATGTTGTGCCTATCCTCAGAAATGCCCAAATGGTACTTCAGAAATGAAACCTCTTCTCACAAAACCTTTCACACGTCTGAGTTTGCCATCTTGTGCCTGACCTGTTTTTATCCAACTTGTTTAGACAGCACAGTGATGATAGAGGAAGGCATGTAACAGCTCCAGATCTTTACTTTGCATTTAGTATATGTGAGCTGGTGAGGTACTTAGAAGAAAATAAAGTAGGCAAATACTCCTACTGAAAACCTGGTTATTTATGTTTTTGATAAAGGCTGTCTTACTTCCCATTTTATTTTGCAGTTGGAAATGTAACATAGTAGCTGGTCTTAAAAGTTGTGTTGGTGGGGTTTTATCAAAGGGAAGAACCTAATCATTATTTTCATTATGCAATTATTTGGAATGCTTGCTTTTAAACACTGTCTTGAAATCCTGCCCATAATGACTATAAATAGGGCTTTCATTAACACAGTGTTTTCTTAAGGCAGTGAAATCTTTTGAGAGCTGCAAATATAAAGAAATTGCCTAATTTGCACTCACCAAGGATTGCATATTCTAAATGAGCTAGAAATTATTTTTCACAAATGGGGAACATAAAGATGTTCTGTAGGAGCAAAACTTCATAAATGCAGAGAAATTAGGACAGAGATAAAATTCATGGACCTGAAAAGAGAGAAAATGTGCATTAACAGCTACAACATGCATTGGCTACCTGCTGTTCTGGAATTCAGTGGTAGTGGTGTCATCCTCTGTCAATGTGGTTTTGTCCAAGAAAAAGCAATCATTGGATTGTACCCACCCATCTCCAAGCTCTGGGAGTGCAGTTTTTGGTGTTGTCAGAGGACTTTGGGGTTTGTACTTGCAGGCCAGACTTTGCACCATTGGGCTGTGCTCACCTGAGCTGTTCCTGTAGTCTGGCCCCACCAGCTGTGTTCAGTGCTTCTCGCCTGACATATGTGTGGTGCTTACTGCTCACAGTCACAGCTGGGTCTTGGGGACTGGGATTTTGTGTTTTGACATCCTTAAAGTCACACAGGGAAGCCAGGAGTCCATACCTATCATGGTTGGACGGGGTAGTTGTTTCTAGATGAGAAGTTTGAATATGATAGGTGGAGTTATACTTGTCTCATCTGTGAAGGAAAACCTCCCTCCTACAGTGGCCCCCCAGCTCTCCCCAGTATTATTGGTGTTTAGTCCCAGCAACCATTTCTTCCTCTTTTTTTATAAATCCCTCTTAAAAATAACTGAAATATGTGTGACTTACCTAATTAGCCAGCAGTAGCTCGATATCCTGTATAACTGAATTCCCTCTTGTGCCCTATCAAATCTGGATCTGGGATGTTTTCTTCCATATATTCTTCTGGCTTATGTACTGGCTTCAAAGCTTGCAAAATTTTGGAAAAGATAAGCAGTTGCCTGAGTATAGCTTCTTTTGCCTCTTGACAGTGAGTTGAGGACTCCACTGACAGTCCTGTTGTGATTTTAAATTTGCACTGCTTGATTTGAACACACCTAAGCTGATTGAGGCTGCAGAAATTGATAGGAGCTTGGGAAATCATCCAGTTTTTGAAATTTAGCAGCTTGTTGTAACAGAAACTTTGCCAGGGATATGCAGGGCCAGCTTTTAGAATGCAAGGAATGCTTTCAGAGGAGACGAGGGAAAGGAAAACATATTTTGCACGTAACAGAAAAACTCAAAGTCTCTATGTGGTTCTAGGTATGGAAACAGCAAAACTCAGAGTCTGAATGGTTCCAGGTATGAAAGCATTTGAACTGTCTTTGCTGCTCAAAATCTCAGCAAGCTTCCTTTAAAAATCTGCTGGTGAGTTCAGTTAGTTTTCAGTGCAGCTATTTAAAATTCTGTTACATAGTGAAATGAGCTCCCCTTCTGCTGCTCCTCAGCTAAGCTGGTGCAACATCCAAAATAGACATGTGGGACTTGAAGAAAATGAGAGAAAAAGCAGTTCTGCCTTTACATGGCAGAGCTCTTTGCTGTAGGTGAGGTTTCTTTTTAGTGATGTTGTATGCCCTGCTAAGAAGTTCAGTCACCTGGTAGATATCTCCTGTGAGCTAAGGCAAAGAGAGCTGCATTCATGGAGTTTTCCAGGGAAGTTTCTATTCAGTTTCCTTTTTAAAGGAGGAAATATTGTCCATTAAACATTTGAAATTGCATTACTGATGTTAATTTCTCCTTATAAATATTAGGCCTGTGCTCACTAAAACCTGTTCTGATAAAAGCTTGTCTAATCATCAGGTTTAGTTCTCCAGGGAAACCAGTATTTAAATTATGTGATGCCACTCTAAATGTTTCTATTCTTGTGCTACTGGCACTGGGGGTTGAGTTAGTGTTAACTCTGCAGTTAACAAATCATTAAATGCTTTTGTTGATTCAAATGTACCTTTCAGCTGTGCATACTGTAGTAAAAGCCTGGTAATTTTTTAAAGAAAGAATTGTAATAGAAGAAGGACTTTGGGAGGAAAAAGCAAATTATTGCATAATAAGTTGCTAAAATGGCTCTGGGAGGAGAAAAACCATATTAATTCATAGTAATTTGCTAAATGAAAGAAGAAAAAAAAAGATCAGTACCCCATTTTAAAATATACTTGCATAGGTCCCAAGATTAAATGAAAAAAACTCCATGTGTTTTAAGCTGCTTATGACAGGTCATCATCTGTTATCTGTTCCCTTGGTAGAGGCAATGCTTTCCTTTTTTTAATACCATTCTTCGAGGTAGGTTTCAGGAACTGGAAGAAAATTTATAAAAACCATGTCACGTTGCCAAGGAAATTAGGAAACAAGAACTGAAAGTGTAGGAGCTGGCCGAGAGCGTAAACTGCTTGGATGCCAGTGAACAAGGATAATACTTGGTTCCTGTAAAAGTGCTCTGATACCTATTGTTGATAAATGAAGGATGGAAATCAAGGACAAGCCTGATGAAAGTGGGAGAGCGCTGAATCCATCAGCCCAAAGCACCTGCTGTTCCTTTCACAGATCTGCCCGTGTCAGTGCTAACTGTCAAAGCTTTCTCTTGTACAGACTCTTGCATTAACACACTTGTGCCCCTGAGCTAATGTAACCCTTCTCTGTTGTGCCCGTCGCCAGCGGCCAGCGCAGTCCTTGGGGCAGACAGCCAAAAGGTCCAAGGTACGGTAGCCCGGTGTGCTGGCATGCGACGGGAGCCCTTCATGCTTGGTGCAGCTTCGTTACTTTGTGGAAAGTGCCTTTAGTTTTATTTTTTGGCATTGTAGCTGTGTTTTATTCTGTTGGATTTTTGTCTTGCCTAGTTGTTTGCTTTTGTGATTTTGGTGGCTTTTATATTTTTGGTGGCTTTTTATTGTTATGGAGAGAAACACTTTCCCAATATTTTATTTACTTTTCTTTAGATGTGCTCTGTTGTTCTGGTAGTGCCTTCAAAAGCTGTAATTGCTTGGGTATTTTCATCCTAATGGGAATTATTTATTCTATTGAAAACGGGAAAAATGCCATTTTCAGCCATTTTGTTTTTCATATAATGAATGAAAAAAATAACGGCTTGTGGTATATTTATATTATCTCTTATAAGCCATAGATGTTAATTTTACATACTTTCCTTTAGTCAAACACAAAGTTAAAGTTAGTTCGGAGCCTTGCTGTATGTGAAGAATATCCACCACCTCCCACAGCTGAAATATCCCAGGACCTCCAGGTAAAAATCACCTTACTGAAGTTTCTGGAACAATTTCAAGTAACTTCTTGTTCAAAAGAAAGTCTGTTGGGTATTCTTTAAATATGTGGATACCATGTGGTTTTAATTTTTTTTCTTTTTTTACTACTGATCTAATAGAGGTGATAATATCAGGTGAAGAATTTGCTGCTTTGTTTTTCTGAGCTATACTAGTTGATACCTGTGGGCAGAAAGAGGGGGTTTGTCAGTTCTTTTAACTTATTGGTCCAACAGTACACTTGAGGGACTCTTAAAACTGCTTAAGTGCTGTCTGTAATTAGTAAGACAGAAAGATTTTGATTAGTATGGAGCCTAATTTATTATCTTTTTACATTTTGAAAATGGAAACAGTTGTGATTTTTGGTGTAACTGAATTTAAGCATATTAGTCCCAGTTGCTGGTAGCTCTGTAATACCTGCCTGAGGTATATCTGAATTAATCTATTAAAATTATAGAATACATCTACAGAAGTTTCTACATGCTGAACAAAAAATGTAAAATGACTTTAGAGAATTTAAACAAAATCTATGTTTCCTGACTTTACCTCCATACCAGTCTGTATTTTCAGAGCAAAACCCTGCTGCTGGCTTTGTTTCTGTGCATGAGTGAGGGCCATCAAAATGCTGGGTTTGTTCATGCCTATCAAAACAGAAATGGGCCTTTGCTGTTATTGAAAAGCTTCTAAACTGTGCTTTTGTGAAACGTATCCCTTTGGTTAAGAAGGAAGCAGTAGAAAGCAGGATGTGAAGGGGTTTTGCTGAGGAGGTGGTAATTCAGTTCTGAGGAAAGATGGACATTGAGAGCTCATGTACGTTTTTGTCAAGCTAATTAAATTTTTTTGAGACTGAAAGTGTAGGTTTGGACTGAAACCCTCCAGGTTTGCAGGGGTTTTGTTCCTTTGGAAAAATAAGGAAATAGTATTTTTGTGGGCTTTTGCTAATATACCAGAATTTGAAGTGCTGACTAGAGGAATTCAGAAACTCAGCCTGCTACCATGATGAAAATCTAAGTCATAGTTTGGAATAGATTGCAGAGTAAAGGATGAAAAGCCAACAGAAGAGTTATTGATGTTTACAATGATTTACAGTTCTTTTGCAATGTTTCCCATAAGATAACAAAATAGATTGAAAGGTCTGGTCAGGCTGAGTTGTTCAATCTGAAGCAGTGGGGTTTAACTTTGTCAGTCACTGTAGCAAATTAGAAGAAGACAGAAACCTGATTTGGTGGACTGATCATCCATAGTGTATTTCCAACATAAGAGGCATTAGGATTTTCTGACCTCCAGCACTACACAAGACCATGTGTTGAATGGTTTAAAGTCAGACATTTATAAGGTGGTGTTTGTGGCCAAGTCCTCTGGGAATCTGTCCCTAGCTCTGTGCTGCCAGGTGGCCCTTGAAAGGAGTCCTTGCAGCAGCAGGAGGGATGTCAAGGCTGGTTCTGCAGAATGAATTGGATTGTGTGATAATTTAAGTTTGTACAAAAGAAATGCCAGAAAGCAGATTGCTCTAAGAACAAAATTAGAGCTAGCTGTGAGTTTTCTTTGGAAGGAGTAATGTAGAAGAAATGGTTTATGAATCCCAATAGCTGTGCAGAGAACGATTGCAAGAACAAATTTAGTTCTTCCCTGGAGGGTGGAGAAATGTGTTGGAGAGTTAGAAGTGGGAATCTGTTACAAGTTCTGATGCTGGAGTGCAATCCTGTGGGGCTCTCCCATGGCCCTCTGTAACAACTCACACAGGCAATTTCTTCGCCCATTTTGGCTCCTTTCCCAAACTATCTTTGGGAAAGAATGGAAGAGCTCTTCATATGTGCCAATCAGCTGCTGTAATTGGGACTAATAATGCCTCCGGCCCCATACTCTGAAGCATTAATTGTGCTTGGGATGTGTGAGAGGTCCAGTGGCTCAGGAAAGGATGAGTCTACCTTGCACAGGTGTCGCTGGCAGCAGGAGAGATGCTCTGATGCTTCCCCTTCCTGGAAGAGTTGCTGCTCCATTGTATCCATGATTGCAACTAAAAAGTGGCTTCCAGTTTAGTTTTAAGAAACAGGACAAATTAAATTCAGGATAATGTTGCTGGTGATATTTGAAGAATCACAATTTTAAATTATTAGAGAGTGTTAGGCTTGATAGGATGAAAAATACATGTACTTAACTAGGGAGTGGTGCGAGTTTGGGGACGACTCCATGGTCTTGTCTGTGACTGTCCATCAGTCACTCCTTCACACCAGCAGCTCCAGCAGGGTGAAATTCCTGACACAGGGGGGTGCAGGAGGCACTTAGCAAGGCACCACTGGCTGCTTCTCCTCAGAAGGCTGCGATGGAAGAGAGTGACAGACCAAAGAAATTGTCTCAAGCAGATGAATTTATATTCTGATATAGGTTTCTATTTTCAATTGCAACATGAAGCAAGATACTGCTTCTCCCTGAGAAACCCAGATAAGAGCTTTGCATATTTTTGATACTTTTTAAAAAGCACTGGCAGCTCTTTACTAAAAGGTACTGTGAAATTATGAGCTTACAAATTTATTGTGAGAGGAAGAACATAACTGTGATATGTTTGATCTTTTATCTTTGTAACACTGACTCTATATTCTCTTGCCATAATTTGTGTAAACATCAGGTTGTTCTGACTCTATGTTCTAATACAAAGTACAAGCACTTGCAAAGGGTGATCCAGTTCAGCCCTTTTTAAGGAAGAGCTGTTTTCATATGAATGACAGTTGTTATTATGAGTAACAATTAAATAAATCTTCAAAAAGTTGAACTTTCTAAGCAAAGCAAAATAACCCAATGGAGAGGGAGTGGGAGGAGAAGGCAAGGGGCTGTAACGTTAGTTTCTGTTGACTTGTGTTGGTTTTTCTGATAGGAAGCCCAGCCTCAGCGTGTAGGTCTTTGAGAAATATTCTTACCTTTTTCCCAAATGTATTAAACTGGCAGGATTAATCAGGTTTTGATGGTTTGGGGCATTTCCTGTTTGTCCGTCTTTTTCTTGTTTAATCAAAATATGGTGACAATTTCCTCTTCTACAATGATGGCTTGGGATGGGTGATCAGAATTAGGGCTAGGAGTCTGTTCAGTCCAAATGCCAGCAAAGACCTGCTGCAAACAGGGTGGGATTGAGAGAGTTTTACAGGGAAAGAGAAGTTAAAAGATTTTTCAGCAGCTTTCCAGTCAAGTGGGTCATATTTAATTAGATGCTACAGTTTTTATAGCATGAAATCACAAGAAAGTGCCCTTTGGTACCCAGTTCTGGTATATCACACTTTGAAGTAGAGCTGGTGGTAGTAGCAGAACTGGCTGTTCAGATGGTGATTCCTTTTTTTAGCTCTTGTTGGGGAAGGAAGTATGAAAATGATTGCTTGCTGAGATCCTTTGACTAAACTATTGCTGTGTGCATTACTTGGAATGAGTTTAGAAGTTGCAGTCACTTTTCTAGTGAAGAAACATCAGACTATGAAAATTTCCTTAATTTACTGATATGGTGAATCAAAGTCAGGAACAATTTCTTAATAGGACAGAAACATTTCTTTCTCAAATAAAGTTTGCACAGCTACTTGATGAATGGTGAGTGTAGAGCATTTTGTAGTGACAAATTAATTGCTCATTTGAATTGCACACAGGTTTATGAGGTAAGGAATACAAAGACTTGTTCTGGACTCCTTAAGGTGAATTCTCAAGACTAGGAAAGAATCAGATGAGAGAGTTCCTTGCTGGTGACTGGGGATGGTATTTATCAGATGTGGTTATAGATCCTGTCCAAAGCTGAGAAGGCTTCATTGACACAGAGTTGTTGTTTAGTGGGTGTTCATGAATTAGCAAGTTTAATTGGAACATTTATTGTGGGGAAAAGTCATAATGAAAGGGAAAACTGGTAAAACTATCAGGGACAGTTTTTCTCTCATTTGAAAAAGTTGTTGTCCCAAAGCCCAGATGGGAACTCCTGTTGGGCAAAGCCTGGGTGGTGCAGGGCTCCCTCTGTGCCTGCACAGGCACGAGTGGCTGCGGGCTGGGCATGTGAACAGGCTCCAGCCTGGTGAATCCTGGCTAAATTTAACTCTGGCTGCATTCCACTGGTGAGATCAAGGCTGAGCAATGACACAAGAGCAGAGCTTAGAGCAAGAGCCTGGATGTGGGTAAGAAGGGGTTTGAGGGAAGAGTGAGGACTTCAGTGGGAAACGATTAAGGTGCAGAGCAGAAGAGGGATAGGCAAGCGTGTGTGAGGAGCAGCTCTCTGGATTGGGAAGGCTTAGATGTAGTCAGGAATGTGGAGGTGACAGCATGGACTCCCCTGGCATCTAGGGGACCAGAACTGTCATTTGAGGGAGTTAAAAGGTGGCAGGGGAGTCTGGCTCTGGCAGGACTTGGCCACTGCCCCTGTGGGAATCCCTCAGGCACGGTGAGTCCATTGCTCCCGAGCTTCTCGGCTCTGGCTGTCTGAAATGTGTTCTTCCTCCACTGACAACCTCCTGAAACAGTAAAGGGGCATGGAAAGCAAACTGCAGTCTTGCACTGTTCAGGGTATTTAGGGGACCATTATGTCAGTAATTTGAGAGGGAAACTTTTTGCTGTATTTGAGAAGCAGGTTTTATAATAGTTCACCTACTGGTATAAAACCATGGATTTTGAGGTGATTGCACATAAAGCTACTCTATCAAAATACACAGGAAGTTATGAAACTAAGCCTTGATGACAAGTCTGCAAACTTTGCTTTGATATATTGTACTATAAATATTTCCCTTTTTTGTGGATCTGGAAATGCTGGTCTTAGACATTTTTGTTTTGTTTTTTTCTTTGTATGAACCAAATGAAAATTTGAAACAAGCTTTTACAGTAAAGAACTGTGAAAAATGGGGAGGAAAAAAGCATTGTGGATGAGACATGACTTAAAAATATAGAGGCAGTATAAAATTTATACATCTGAAAAATGGGAATATTTTCTTACATGTCTGGAGCAAGATACTTTGAATTAATTTTACAATAGCATTCAGGGCCTGGAAGTGTGTGTAAATTCTAAAATGTCTGTGATCCTTTCTGTGCCTTCTCTGTACACTCTGATTTACTGATAAATAATTTTGTTATGTGGCCACATGGAGCACATGTGGAATCAGAAAGAATATGTAAACAATTTTTTGTTGTTTCTTCATTATTTTGCAGGTAATATAGTACAGAAAAGTTCTCCTGCAGGTATTGTTTGAAATAATTTGTGTGGTGACTGATTTTTACTTTTTGACAGGAGAAAATTCAGATCCAGTTGTCACAGTCTTTTGAAAAAGAAGAAAAACCTGCAAAAGATGAATCAGAAAAGGAAAAATCCAGTGATAAACTGTCCAGAAAAATGTTATCAAGAGGTTTGCTCTCTCTCCTTGTGTTATTCAATATACTGTATAGATAAAGAACATGTGAAAGTACAATTCTGCTTCTAAGTCTTCATTGCATAAACTTTACGGGGGTTTTTTAAATTTTATTTGCAAATTAAGCAAATAGATCAGACACCTTTGAGCTAGAGGAGAATTGGTCCCTGAGGAAAGAGAGCTTTAGAGACTTCGTCAAACACTCCAGCAAATGCTTTTCCTTTCTGTCCTGTCTGACTGTACAGAGCAGCATAAAAACCAGCTGTGTTGTCTCACTTGTGTCCAAGGGTTCTTTAAGCTGACTTTACGAGTCAGTGGCAGCTCCTGTCTTGTTTCTGGGCTTTGTTGTTACAGGACTTGTGAAGCTGAAGTGAGAGTGGCACAGCTCCCTTTGTACTTTTTCTGATCCTCATTCAACAGGCGTCAGTGTTCTCCTTTGTTTATTTTACTTTTGATAGTATCTAGAATTTTTGCAGTAAAGTTTTGGAGTAAGGGTAGAACTACATAAATAAAAAGGACAAGCATTATGTTTTCTCTTAAATATTTCTGCATTCTAGAGTTACAGTCTATGTGCTGAAAATCTTTGGGTTTTAATCTGAAAGAGAGCTGTGAAATCAATGCCATAAACTATCAGTTTATGTCCATGCTGCCTAATGCCTCCTACAGGTAGAAGACTTTATGCATTTAAGTTGGGAAATAATTTTACAGCTCTTGCTTTAAATATCCACAATGTTTACCTAAGTATCTTAGATCAGCCAGAGTATAGCAAATACCTTTAGAGCTGGAATTCTTTCTGAGACAAGTGGCACTTGCCCATCTCATGGCCCACAATTCCGTAAGGCATTCCTTGTGTGGAATTTCAGTGCAGCTTGTCCCAGCTGGCAGCCAGGTATTTGTGAAATAAAAAGCACTGAGATGGAGAGCTTATCTGCATTTATAAATCTCAGTCTTTGAAATGATGACTTAAACACCACCCGCAAATACCCAACAGGTAGTGATGGGGGTTGAGAGCAAAGTGACAAAATGCCTGTGATAGAGGTGGCTGTTCTGAATCCAACCTCTCTTCTGAAGGTTAATTACTTCCCAGTGTAGGATATGCCAAAGCAGAAAACTATGGAATTTTAGCATCAGTTCTAGTAATTCTAACTAAATCATTGTTCACTTGCAAATTAGAAAAATTGAAGTAATAATTATTGAATCTTGATTTTTTTTACCAGGGGTAGCCTTTTTTTGCCTTCTCTTCAGAATCAAAAGTAATTCCAAACCATAAATGCTCACACTTGGTTGGTTTCACTTAAACTCTCTGGAGCTGGAAGAGTTGGGACCTGGGCATAAATCTGAGTTATGCCTAACTAAGTTGACACTAGGTTAACACATAAGTAGTTCTTGGAAGACATCTAGTTCCAAAAATACTGTTCCAACACCTGTTGGATTGAATCCTAGTACCTGGAATCTGAAGGGGCTCATGTAAGGGAAGATTTGGGGTTAAATCATTCCTTTCAGGGACAGATTTTAGGGGATAGTATGTAACTGAATACTTTCCTTCACTGAAACCAGAAAGGAGGGGGAAGGTTGAGTCTTCTTTTGGTAACATCTAAACATGATGTTGTGCAACCAAAGCCCAACAGAACAAGGATTTTTATTAATGCAAAGCACCACCTTGTGAAGGCTAAACTGTTACATTCTGAATTACAAAATTTCTTTGGGCAACATCCAGAAGTTGAGTAGATGGGCTGTTGCTGCTCCACAGATGTGTACACACACTGCAGTGTAGGATAGTGAGAAAATGTGGCAGGCTGGTGGAAATCAGGTCTCTCAAGGTGATTGCCTGCTTCACAACAAGTTGTTGATAGTGGTGTTATTGAAACTTCAGCTTCTGCATTACCCTTGAATTAGGGGACAGTGGGTGGTGGTGGGTTTTCTGGTTTGTTTTTGACTTGTGGACCTTTTTCCTGGAAACTGGAAGCATTTAATTTTGGCAATAATGTACTTAATGGTTATATAGTATTGATCCATATATTATATGTTCAGCAATAATTGGAAAACAGATTCTTCAGAGTATAATTTTGCCCTCTTCCCCCTCACCCTTAGATTCCAGCCAGGAGTATACAGATTCCACTGGTATAGATCTTCATGAATTTTTAGTAAATACATTAAAAAACAATCCCAGGTAAGAATCAATAATGTCACCTTTCTTTATGCTTTTCTTTCTTCTTGTTGCCTGAGGCATTAAACTGCCTGTTTTTTTGTTTGTGGTTTTATTTTTTCTCCCTCTTAAATGTCTAACCCCCCATGTCAGTTATTTGGGGTGAGATTCTGTTGTACAGACTGTCTAAAACACCACTGTAATTGGTTTGCTTTTTGAGTGGAGGTTCAGGACACTGAAGTGGTTTAAATGCTTTTAATGCTTAATATGCAAATGATGTGTTCAGTCTGTGTGCAATTCTCTCCCTGAATGGGCTTCAGTACATTGTCTCTAAACCTTGTACTGTCTTGGCACCTGCTTGTTATAGACCAGACTGCCTTCTCTGACCCTAATCTGTCTTGCACTGAATTTATAGATAAAGGCATTTTTTTTAAGCTGTAGCATATAACTGTAGTTAGAGATTTTCATTCTGCACATCAGAAACCAAATCTGACCTAATCCAAGTCCATAATTTGTTAGCAACAAAACTGACCTGGTTTTGTTTGCTCTGAGGTTTGCAGTCTGTCCCTGTCTTGTTTGTTCTTTCCCTCACTGGGGTTTTGTGCTGGCTTTGTGGCTGTAGTGCAAGGCAAGAAATTAACTTGGTACAATTGTGCTCTGCCACAAAAGCAATTTCACTGCATTTGTTATTCATTCATATTATAGGTAGGACTTCCAGTGTGATAATTTATTTGGATTCCATTTTATTCAGAATAAATGTGACATGAGCCATCATATGGCCAAAGCCATAGTCCTGTAGAGTAAATTAGAAAGCACAGACCTCTGTGAGACTTAGTAGGTGGTTCCTATTTGAAGCCATGAAGCATCCCAGTGGAAATAGGGAATTGTAAATGAAGATCTCCATGTGTTTCCATGCACAGTGACTGGGAAGCTGGGTTACTTGATGTGCACAGATTATGAACTGTGTATCATTGGATATCATTGCATCTTAATAGTTTATTAGAACTCGTGCAAGCAGTTTCAGGAACAGTATTCCTTCCTACCACCATGAGTTTTAGCTTTTCTGTATTTCTAACATGTCAGCACATGGCCACATGTGCCAGCTTTAAACCCTTGGTTGTTGGTGATGTGCTCCATCACTTTCTCAGTGATCTCCTGATGTGCTTCACAGTCCAAGGGCCAGCTGAGGCCTCTGCACATTCCCTGCCCACACCAACCAACAAGGAACAACCTCAGCCCTGCTTTTCCTCCTGGAGCCTGTCTTCTCTCCGTGACTGCACTTCCTGCAGAGCCTCCTGGGCAGGGACTTCTTGGAGGATCTGTGTACTCTGATATCTGAGAGCAAAACAGCATGGTTCAATACAAAATAGCAAAAAAAGAATACTTTGTCCTAAAAATTCAGCATTTGACACTTGCTGGTCCTATTTCCAGTCTGCCATCATCCCTTGATCACAGCTCTGATCTGTGTATTCTTAAGATGAATACAACTGCAGTTATTGGAGTGTCTCATATGTGAGTTGCTGTGTTTTTATTTTCAGGGACAGAATGATGCTGCTGAAATTAGAACAGGAAATTTTAGATTTCATTGGTAATAATGAGTAAGTACTGTACTCTCATAGGAAAAAAGAATTCAAGAGTGTTCCTGTTTATTTAATAAAGCTACTATTCCTTTCTTACAGAGTACCAAGAAAAAAGTTTCCCCCAATGACATCTTACCATAGAATGCTGTTGCACAGGGTAGCTGCTTACTTTGGATTAGAGCACAACGTGGACCAGAGTGGGAAGTCAGTCATAGTAAATAAAACTAGCAGTACAAGAATGTAAGTGTCAAAGCCTTGAAAAACCCTTTTGATGTGTAGCTCTAACGCCTGGCATGTGTGAGGCAGTGATGCCATAGCAGTGAGCTCTGTCTCCTCACTGGGAGCAGGCATCAAGGAGAGGTAGTTGAGAGCTCTTTATGTTCTTGCTGTGTAATAATGTGATCTGTTTCATGTTTGAATTCTTTTGGGGAAAGAAGGGGTTATCTCTGAGTTAAGAATTTTTGTTGCTTTTCTGGCAGAGATGCATTGCTAATTTTGTTTCTGTGAAATACGAATTTATAGCAACTGTTTGTTTGTTTAAAGATTTACACCAGTAAAGTGTACAAAGTGCATTCTTTGTTTATTTTGGATAGCAGAGCCAGCTCTTATCTTAGAACAGGGTCATTTCTGATTTGGTGAAGGGAGGAGACTTGCTCAACTGTGCCTTTTGTATTGTAAAATTCTACTGGGAAAATTCAGCTGTTGAAAGTTCTTCTGTTGGAATAATGTTGCTTACAGACCTCTCATGGCCTTACAAATAAACATAACAGGGAAGACAGACATCAGTGGAAATGTCAACCAGGTTAACAAGCTGTGGTGTGCTGCTTTATTGTGAGGGCTGGGGAGTTCTTGGAGAAATCCCCAGGAAAATCCATATTGCAGAGAATATAGCACTGGGGCCACAGCAACTCTGAAACCTGTGCAGAATTGAGGTTTTCATTCAAGGGACCCAGCTGTTCTCTCCATTCTCTGCACTTGCTCTGTCTCCTCATTCTCTCTCAAAAAGACAAAGGTCTAATGTGTTGACATATTTATGCCACCTAGTTTCTAGTTTTAACTTAGAACATTTGCCTGACACTGTTTTTTGTTGGTCTTGAACATGAAAACAAGAATTTACAGTGCCTGCATATCCTAATCTCAGTCTCTAGATACACTCTTTATAGCTTTGGGAGAAAAAAGTAACTATCCACCCTGTTTTAGAGTCAGTAGGACTGAAATGATATGCCACACTGAAATTTCACTTAAGTAAATAGTTTGTCCTCAGACATTTTAGAAATATATAGAGAGCCTAAATGTATATTGAATACTTGTATTATTTATGTATGTGTTTTTGCTTTGGCTGTACAATCTATATCTGAATTGACCTAGAAAGCCAGACATTTCAAATCTGTTGCCTTTGCATCTACCAGCATCTCTAGACTGACGTTTCAGTCTACCACTTCAACTGTGGAATAAGAACTAATTTATTTCATTTTCATGCTTTTTAAAAAAAATTTAGACCATATTTAAATAGCTTGTGGCCTCTGGAAGCCCCTGTAGGTGTAGTTACTAATTAGCAGGCATTTCATCTAACCTGCAGACATAAAGATTCTTGATGTTTTCAATATTCTTATTTTAAATCACTTTGGATACAAAATAAGAATTTAGAAAGAAAACCTTGGAGATCTGCTCCATGTGGAATAAAGCCAAACTTACCTTTTCCTCATAGGCAGGTTCGCGGCTCCCTCGCCGAGCAGGGATGTTACTGACATCAACCACCCAGTGCACACTGGCACGTCTCAGTGGAGTGGGAGTTGGTGATTGCAGGGCAGTAAATTCAGAGACCTTTAAAAGAAAGAGGTAAGACAGTCTAAAGGTTCTCTGAAATGCCTGCTAATTATGTTTGGGCAGCCAGTACCCAATAGGCAGGGCTGGCTGTTTCGTAGAAAAAGCTCCCCTCACTCCATCCAGAAGTCCTAGGTAATGATAAATAACAGAAATAGAGAAGAGCATACATTTATTTTGTCCTCTATTAGACAAATATTTCCTGATTGTCTGAGCTCTTCTCTTACGGTAGCAGTAGTTTTATTATTCAGGTACTTGGTATCTCTCTTCCATAAAAAGGATTTGCAAAATACCACTTTTTCTTTCACAAAGTAGATAAAATACCAAAGCAATATTTATAATCTGTTGCTTCACTCTCTCCCTATGACTGTGTGAAGCTCTTGCTTGCCTGCATTATACTGTTCTTCTCTTACTCATTTCTACTTAATTTTGTTTTAGAAGTTTCTAAGTTTCAGTGCTTTCTCCTCTACCTTCTTTCTTCTGTTTTCCCTTGAAATGAACTCTGAGGTATTGCGGCTCTAGCGGCAAACACCTGTCTTCACTTCCATGCATGCCCAATATCCATTGCATGGCACCAGTTGGGATTCAAAAGCACTTCTGATTCCCCAAGGGCATGTGGTTTGCTTCCCACCTTAACTGGAAGTTGCAGCAAAAGCTTTGAAGGAGGAAGAGTTTTTTAAAAGCAGGTTTGTTATGCCTCAGGACAGGACTTGTCAGGAGTGCACCTCATCTTTTCCGTTGCCCAGACAGCCAAAATCTATTATTTCAATTAGAATATTAAATATATTTTAAATTACTCTTGAATATATTTCAGTTTGTTCCACTGTGTGTACAGTATGCTTACAAAGCCATAAATGTTTTCTTTGTAACAACTTTTCTCAGACCTGACCAAAAGTTTTGTGAGCATATAAAGGATGAGAAGAGCGATGACTTCCAGAAGCGGTACATCCTTAAGAGAGATAACTCTAGTTTAGACAAAGATGACAACCAGGTAAAGCACACATGGCTTATTCCTTCCACTTGCTGTGTTTGACTGTGCATTCTTACTGCTTTCCTCTGTAAAATAACACTGTACCACTTAATTTAGATGAGAATACGATTAAAAGATGACAGAAGAAGTAAATCCATAGAAGAACGTGAAGAAGAATATCAGAGAGCTAGAGAAAGGATATTTGCACAAGATGTATGTATCAAAACCAGTCTGGCACTTTTTTCTGTGAGCCCTTCACACACATACATGCACAGGTGGCTTTCCAGGAAACTTCTGTTTCTGAATGGCACTGAGCAGATAAGAGAGTGTGGCCTGAGTGAGTTTTAAATGATATTGCAGTTACTGAGAAATCTTCTGTTTTCTCTAATCACTGCTGTATGAAACTCAAAACAACCCAAGAATTACTGAGGAGTGTTCTCTAGCATTACCCACTGCAAAGTGTTCCCCCACTTTGCATTGTTTTACCTCTCACTGCAATTTAAGTTACAGAGTTTTGGTACTGCAATCGTTTGCTCAGAGCTATAATTTAAAAAAGAAAAAAAAAACCCAAGCAAATTAAAAAATGAAAAAACTATTTTCTCGCTTGTATCTATAGCAACTACATTATGAGTGGTCACAGTAAAATGATTTGAGGTACCATATGTGAAATTCCTGTCAGGAATCTAGCAGTCTGATCTGACTGGAGATACTCGGCAGGATGACATTATAGGCTACAATTCAATTGTAAATAGTGATTATATTGAGTTAAACAGAACAAATATGTTTTTAAAAATACCTGTTTCTTTTAATAATCCACTTCTGACATTTATCTATAACTCTTGCACATCCAAAACCAGATTCCAAAGAGAGTAATGAGCTCTTGAGAGGCTGATTCTTTCTTTGTTCACTTTAGTTACACACAAGAAGAATGGACTTCTGGCTATAAAAATATGTTTTTCTTTTGCATCTTAATTTACTGTGTATTACACCCTTAGAAGCTTTGTGCCAGATGTTGGGAGTCACAGTCAAGGACATAATTTCAATCAGGAGCAGCCTTTTTGGTTCTGTTCCGTGTGCTCTGTAGCTTACCCAGACTGGTACCCAGGGCACTGAGCAGTTACTGCAGCAGCAGTGGCCTTTCCCCCTCCACCCTTCCCAGAAAATAAGGCAGCTGAGGTGCTGTGGCAGCCCTGGGAATCACACACCAGCTGCAAGTGACAGAAGGCACCAAAGGTCCAATGAAAGAACTGTGACTACAGAAAAAGTCTAATAGAATCCAAATGAGCAGCATTGTAACTATCCTCATGCTGACTTTGATTTCCTGCACATGGGCCTTTTTATATTATCTTGTTTCCTCATGGAAATTATCCACCAACAGGTAAAGTTTTTCAGGCAGCTTAATATAAAGAGGGTGCTGTAGAAGTCTGTGTATAATGCATAAGACTCCAGATTGCTGTGTGTTTGTGTAGTAGGGGTTCTAGATGCCATTTGTATTAATTTCTGCACTTCTTTGCCCCTCAGTCCCTGTGTTCCCAAGAGAATTATTTCATTGATAAAAGGTAAGAAAATTTGCTGTTTAATTCTGCTTGGTCTTCCTATTTCCTTAATAAATATTAAGCTATCTTATTAAAATGTCAACAGAATCCAGGAGGAAGAAACTAATAGTACACAACAAAGACGACAGATACTTAGGTATTTGATGCTTTCTTTTAAAAAAACAAAACCCAAAGTATTCTGCATGCATTTACCTCTTTTTGATTGTCTTTTTGTGGGTTTTTTTGTTTTGTTTTTGTTTTTCTTTTCCCTTCATTTCCAAGCACTGCTTGTGCTAACAGTTCAGTTTGCACCTCGCAGAATCAATAAGGAGGCATCGGGGAGATCGGCCAACAGCCACCAGAGCAGCACGGAGACAGAGCCGCGGCCCTGGAGCAGCACCGACTCCGACAGCTCCCTGCGCAACCTGAAGCCCGCGGTCACCAAGGCCAGCAGCTTCAGCGGCATCTCGGTGCTGAGCCGTGGGGACAGCTCTGGCAGCAGCAAGAGCACAGGCAGGCTGTCCAAGACAGGTACAGCAGCCTGGGGCAGGCTCTGGGGATCAGCCGGGTGGGCATGGCTGGTGTTGCCGGTGGGGAGGCTCCCTGCATCCCATTCCCTCGGGATACAGGGGCTGCAGTGACCCTGGACATCGACAGACCCAGCCCTAGAGCCCTAATGTGACAAATGCGGTGAACACTTCCAGCGTTGGAAGGAGAATTTTCAAGTAGATGGCTTGAAGTTCGACACCTTCTCTCTCATGCAAAGGGTTTGAAAACATTTTTTACCAGAAATATTTTAGTATAAAATATTTAGGGTTCAGGTCTCCATTTCCAGTGGGGTAAAACTGCATTGCACCATCCTAGAAAATGCTGCACTGCTATCCTACTAGCTCAGATAAAACAGCATTAAAGCCTATGAATTGGTAGTTATTTTTGTGTTCTCTTTGTTTTGTTAAATCAAAATTAATATGGCTCAAATGCTTACTTAATTTTGAGACTGCTGAGAAATGAGGTCAGTGGAATGAAGTTCACTGTTTAGTTTTCAAATTCAAAAATGTTGGGGAAAAAGAAGAGTCAGGATTTCAAAGGGGGTTAACTTGTAATTAATGTGAAAACAAAATCTCAGAAAATACGGGTATGAATCTTCTGTGGGTCAAAATGAAATTTAGTAAATATTTGCATTTCAAATGCCAACATAATTTGTTCCAGTTGCTAATCTCTGGAGAATTTTCAGGCTTGTAATACTTGGGTGCGTTATTTGTGGCTGCTTCAGAATTTGAAACAGAACTATCAAAAAGCAGAATATAATTGCCTACCTTATTAGTACTGGCTTTGATCTTAGTTATAAAACTGGTTTCTAAAGAGGATCTATTTAAATTTTTTCCTTTTCCTTAAGGCACTACTACCTTTTAGGTATATGGCCACATTGCTATATATTAATGCAGTGAAACAGTAACAAATTCTGTTTGTCATTCGTATACTTGTATTAAAAAAGACCAAAAACAGTTCAAGGTACTTCTGCTGTAAAATTGTGCCATCATATGGAGTTACTCCATTTAGCAGTAGTCATGCTATTTGGCACAGCTGGAAAAGAAATTGCAGCCTGACAATAAATACATTCCTCGAAATCTTTGTTGGCTAAATGTCAAGAATATAAATGGACTCAAATGGACTCTTAAAATTTCTGCTGGAGTCTTTATTTTGGCATTCTGAGAATTTGGACATTCCAGGCTGGGAATGCCCACCTTGATGGTTGTTGCTTCATGCAGTTCCAGGTTGTGGTGACTGGCACATGCTGAGCTCAGGTTTGTTCATGTTCAGGGATGTAATTGGCTCTGGTTATAATGGCTTCAGCCTCACTTCCCTGCATAATCTAGAAGTGAACACACTTGGAAATTAATCCAAGTAACTCTGCCCAGGCAATTATGTCTTTACTGAGCTGGGATATGCTGTCTCACCCAGTTTTCAGTTAATAGCTTTGATTTCTCTTCATTCAGCAATAAAAAAGGCCAATGCTTCAAGCTATGCTCTCTTCATAAACACAAATTGAAGAGTTACAATTAGCAAATTTTATAAGGGATTGCAAAGTAACTTCAAGCAGTACATAAGTTCCATCAGAGTGCTTTTTGAGTCTTTTTCTTCTAGATTCTATAGAGGCTGCTAATGGGGAGTTTGTAAATTTAAACAATTATATTCTGTTTCCAAGTATCATACACTTCTTAAAAAGTCTTTGCTAAATGGTATACCTAAAGCTCCAGGTGTCAGGTGATCTGGGAACAGCAGTTCAACAGACCTCTCCATGCTGAACTTTTGGAATATTTCTTTTAGCTGCATGCCTTGGCTTTCAGGAAGCTCAGGGTCTGGTTCTCCACTGCCTTGCAATGTTTATAGTAATTCATATCTGTAAAATGTGTACTGATTTCAATTGGGTATTTCATCCTCCTTTGAAATTTGAATTGTTGCATAAAGCCAGGCTGAAGCTACCATCTTGCCCTCATTTCATTTTTTCTAGCTGTATTCTTGATTTCAGCTTGCAAATTGTCAGAGGAGAAAGTGTTGAGGGTTTCAGTGTAGTGCAAATTGTCCAGCAGGTGAGTCAGAGAAGATCTGACCCCCAGCAGTGGAAAGAAACTGGTCCTTGTTTGCATGCAGGCAGTGTGTGCATGAACCAGGACAGTGGGGCCCTGCAGCTGCATTCCCTGCACAGCTGCAGGAGCTGGAGCTGGGAGTTCACTGCCTCAGTGCATCCACTCCACCATTTTGCAATACTGACCAATCACTTCCATGAATTCTGGAGGTACAGATATGCATTTTCTGACCAGAAAACCAAGCTAGATATGAAAGCCTTACTTTGCAGTGCAAAGCAGTGCTGAATTGACCCTTGGTTCACACAAGGGACCTTGTAATGGTATTCCAGGGGAGACGGAGGGGGAGTCCATTGACAAGGCTGCTGTGAATAATGTGCTTAATGCTGAGCTTTCAGGGTGAGCACTTAGAAGTGTATATTTTAAAGTGAGCTTGATGTTACTGTCTCCAGGTAAAACCAATTTCTCATTACTCCTTTCCTAGGTTCAGAGTCTTCTAGTAGTGTAGGGTCCTCCACGGGTTCTCTCTCTCACAGCCAGCAGCCTCTTCCAGTGCCAGCTCTAAGCCAGCCCTCCCCTGGCACGCCTGCCGTGTATCCAACTGTCAGCTCTAGTAACTCTCTTTCCTTTGACGGTGGCATGAGCGGGCAAGTGGCACCTGCTGCTGGCAGTAGCTTCTTTCTGCTTCCCTTGGAAGCAGCGGGCATCCCGCCTGGCAGTGTGCTGGTCAACCCTCAAACAGGTTGGTACATGCTTGGGGGTGTCTCTGTTACACTGGGGAACTTGGAAAACAATGCACGAGTGTTTGCATAAGACTTCATGTCAATATTGTCCTCTGTCCTTTATTTTTCTCTTTATTTTTTTAATGTGGTTGTGTTCATTCAATGCACCTTATTTAACAAGGAAGCATGACTGGAGGATCAAAGGAAACTCACATGATTTTCTCTAGAATAGTTTTAACTTACATGTAAAATTTTAATGAGTGTCTTGCAAAAAATACAAAAATCATATGATTTACTATCCAGAACACAGAATAACTTAATTGTTTCGGCTTTTTTTAGGAGAGGAAAACATCCTTTCCAGTGCTTCTATAACACAGTTTCAGTGAGGGGAGAGAGCCTGAGAAAGGATTTATACTGACTTGAAAGAATTTATCATCCTTCTTTTTTTTGATGCAACATATTCGCATCTTTATGCTCAAGACTGAGTTAATGCAAGTGAAAGAAGCACACATTGAAATGCTATTTCTAAATAGCACTTCTCCTTCTCACTTTAAAAGAGGATTAAATCAGTGTTGGTGTAATTGGCCAATACTGGTATTTTTTAGGAAGTAGTAGGAAATTGTTACTTCATAATGTATAGATGCAAGGAGATCTGTAATAACTTGTCTGGATTAAATAACGAGTTAGCATTCTCTGGGCAAACTTTTACTTAAAAATTAGGAAATCCTGAAAGTATTCATTTACCTTTAATGTAAAAGATCATGATTTTAGGAAATTATATTTTTTAATTTTAGTATAATGATTTGTTTTCATTGTAGAAAAGAAAATACTTCAGGATATATTTACCATCATTCTGTAGATGGACTTATGTTTGAATATAACTACACATGATGTTTGAAGCAAAATGTTTCTCATTGGGGTTGTTAAATGTAGTAAATAATTTCTTTAACTAGAAGATATAACATTGAAATAGATAATTTCCCCTTTTTCCTTAATATGAATCAATTGCTAAAAATTTGGCTACAAATGAGTTGCTGTAAGACTTAATTTTCATAGATAGCCATCGGATTTGGAGGAGAATGTATTTGTCATAGAGCTAAGTTCATTAGTAGTTTTCCATAATTATGTTAATGTCTAATGAGTTTCTAGTAGAAGATGAAGAACACTTTGAGAATAAGGAACATTTAGGTGCAGATAAACTTCGATTTCCAATGTACTCGAATCATCGTATTCTGTAATTGTTGCTCTGGTTTTACTGTTCCAGTGCCAGCCAGAACAGAGATTGGCTCCTCAGAGTTTCTGACAGAGGAGTCTGGGCCTTGGTAATTAGGAAAAGACTGCTCTTAGCCAGCCACGACAAGAAATAAGTGAGGCTCTGGTGATTAGCAGGAAGTGGTGCAAGGAAATAAGAAAATCTGAGTCTCTGTTGATGTGAACATTCCCAGTTTTTGAGTGTTGAAGATAAATCTACTAAGCTCCGTCGAGTATCACCTGATAAGCTGCAGTCCAGCTGCTGTAGCTTATGTTCGTGCTCCCTCTGCCATGAATTCCTCAGTCCGTTCTTCAGTAACTGTTCCACTCTTTATGTTGGGCAGTTGCATTTAAGTATGATGGCACCAAGAAGTCTGGAGGAGCATTAATCTGCTTTGACAGGGTGCAAAGGCTTTAGGCTCAGTTTAAATCTTTCTGGAAAGGATAAGAACATCTTTAAATCAGAGGAGAGAAAAATTTACATCAACGTTGGGCCCTTCGAGCATCAGAATAAGCCAATGCAGGACACGTGTCAGTAACCAGGTAGGCACAGGTCCTTGCCAGCCAGGCTGTTGTTCCTTTGATTTGTTTTGGTTTTTTCCAATCCAGGCACAAAAAGAAATCACGGGGGTTTTTTTAATGCAGTTTATTTTTCAATTCTCTTTCATTGGCCCATTGCTGTAATATGTAATTTATTAAATAGGAGAATAATTAGAATAATTATTTTGAAAGCTAAAAGCCAATTCATCTTAAGAATAGGGGAAGAGAGTCCTTTATCAGTAATTTCATTATCAGGCATGGGAATACCAGGGCTGCTATTGCTTTATATAGTTTTCAAAAAATATTTGACTTTAAGTTCTCCTGTGTTCTGACTGGTTTTCAAATTGATTAAAGGAGGTAAATTTTTAAAAGATCCTTAAAACAGTATTTTAGTAGAGTTTTCCTTCATTACTCCTGTCATATTCAATCTATTTGGTTAAAAATCAAGTTTCAAGATGAGTGGCATATAAGAAATTTTTATGGGTGTTCACTGCGTGAAGATTGCGGTATCTTTGTTTAGCTTCAATGCTTTGAGTTTTAGCTGCATGTAGTCATTGCTGTTACAGCTGTGGGCATTTGGCATGAATCTGTCATATAAACCAGTATGACTTCCCTTATTTTTCAATGTTATTATTGTATCCATTTTGCCTGCTGTAAGTATGTTGGTGTGCTTTCTCCCAGCCGAGGTGGTGCAGCTGGCTGTGTTTGTTGTGTTCCCTGGGCAGGTCAGCCGTTCCTCAATCCCGATGGCACTCCGGTTGTGTACAACCCTCCCCTGCCTCAGCAGCCTGTTAGGAGCCAAGTGCCTGGAGCTGCACCTCAGCCAGCCCTGCCCAGCCCCAGCCAGCACCAGCCTGGAGCAAACCCCGTCCTCTCACAGGTGCACTTGTCAAACACGTGCTCAGCTCTGGGAACAGGGGTGGGGGTTATTTATTCTGCAGTGGATGTGACAACAGGCGCACAAATAAGCATAACTGGGCTTTTTCCCTCCCAGTCCTCAAAACTATCAGCTCTGCTCGTACCTGAGCATGGTAGGCAGCCTTTTCTTAACATTACTGAGGAATTTTAGTATGAAAATGTTCTGTAGCCAAGAACAAGAGATTCTGCCTTCATCCCTGATTGCAATGTGGAGTTACCCAGGCATTAAAAGCAATATAGCTGGCAGCTGGGAAGAGCATTAATCCAACTGGAACCTTGGGGTGCTTGAGGGCTGTTTCTCAGCCAGATGAATTCCTGGGCTGTACAGCACAAGCAGGAGTCATGGCACAGTAGGAGTAGCTCAGAACTGGTCAGCATGAACATCTCACAAGAGATAAGCATATTCAGCATATTCTGCTCACAAAACAACACACATAAGTACAGAATGTATTTTATCCTTGTCTTGTACAAGAGTTTAATAAAATAGGCCAGATTGAAGACTGCCCCAGCCCTAGAAGGAGAAGAAAAGCAAAATGCATGGGCAGGAGAAGGGAGGGTTTTCCCTTCCTACAGCAGCTATTTCAGGCACCAAGGTACTGGCTGTAGTCTCCTGTGGTATTTTCTGATTGTTAAATTTTATCAAAAAGTTATTTATAGAACTTCATCTAAACCTTTTACCTTTGTTTGTTTGTTTTCCCTGTTTAAACCTGTTCAGATAGCTGGGTATGTCACAGTAGAGCTGGCCTGTTTTGAAAAAGGTCTCATTTGTACTCTTTCTAGATCACAGAAGTGTGTATGTAATATTTGCTATTTTCTTCACAAATTCTGTACTAGTTCTCTGATTACCTTCTCAATGCATGCTGGAATTAAACCTGCCTGAAATATTATGAGCAATGATAGCTATCTAGAGAAATTATTTTAGTACTGTTGAATAAATGAAAGTAGTTTGTTTGAATCCATGGTTAGTAGTAAATTCATTCTTTAAAGCCTTTAGATGCTTTAAAAGAGCTTGTGTTTAAAATGAGTGTGGAGCTTTTAGTCTCTCTGAAGGAAACAGTAAATGTAAAATAGAAGCAATTTACTGACATAGCTAATATAGTGTATAACAATAAAGCAATGGATGTCTTTTGGGAGACTGAGATATTCAGAGTTACTTCTGTTTTCACTCTATGCAGTCTGAGGCTTACAAAGAAAGAAGTATCCATTCTGTTTCTGAGATTGGAGCGAGTTGCTCTTCTGGAGCACAGTTGCTTTTCTCTGTTACAAAAGACTTGTTTTCACTTCTCTTACTCTGGTGTTAACCTTGTTCATAACCCTGTTATTTCTGCAGCCTCTGCGGGCTCTGCAGCCTTCCTCCCAGCCTGTCCAGTACTCTGCAGTGTCGTACCCACCCCCGCTGCTGCCAGCCTCCTCTGCACAGCAGTACTCTGTGGTATTACACCTTCTCTTCTCTGCCCCTTGCACAGCCTCCTCTCTGGGGCTGCTGGCCTTTGCTTGGCTGTTTGGGTGCTGTGTGTAGCAGGGTAGTGACTGGCTCTCAGTGACACAGCACCTGAGTGCCCGAGATGGGAGCATTTCATGTTCAGCAGAAATACCTGCAATTAAGGCTGTATCTATATATCGCTATATTTTGAGATGCATTATTTCCCTTTCCCTTTGTAAAGAAACTTTTTCAGTGCCTGTTTCATTAGCCAGTCAGTACCATTTTGTGTCTCTGGATTAACCTCTTCCATTGCTTCTTATTGTTTCCTTGTCTGCTCACTCTGCAGCTGAACTTTAATGCATTCTGAGGGATCAGCTGCTCTGATTTTTTTCTTGTCGACTTTTTGTAGCTTCTTTGGTAGAACTTTCAACACTCCCACTTCTCTAGTATCCATTGTTTAATAAGTAAAAACTGGAGATAAAATATCTTAGTCTATCAAAAACCAGGAAAAAAGAAGAAAAGTCACACAAAGTGAAACTGAAACTCAGTAGAGGAGAGTTGTTATTCAAGGGAGAATCTGAACTAGATTAAATTGAACTAGGGAGATAAGAACAGGTCAAAGTCTGCTCTGATACTTTCCTGAGTGCATGTTTGTGTTGAGTTTATGTGGCAAGATTTTGGAGCAGGGAGCTGCAGGGATGGCTTCTGGGGGAGCAGAATGAGTTGCCTCATTGGACAGAGCCCATTTCGGGCAGCTCCAGGGCTGACCCTGCACAGCCCAAGCTGAGTCAGTCAGTCACACTGGTGTGGCACCTCTGAGTGTGCTTGCAAAGGGTGTGAGGGAGAGGAGGGAGAAACAGCTCCACAAATAACTGAGGCCAGAGGGAGGAAAGCAAGGAGGTGCTCCGGGTGCTGGAGCAGAGCCTGCAGCCTGGGGAGGAGACTCTGGTGAAGCAGATTCTCCCCTTGAAGCCATGAAGGACCATGGTGGAGCAGACAGCCACCCTGCAGCCCGTGGAGCATCCCATGGGTGCTCTGAAGGAAGCTGAAGCCTTCAGAGGCAGCTTTTCTGGTAGGACCCAAACTAGGGCACTCCATTCCTAAGGACTTCAGCCTTTGGGAAGAACCCACATTGAAGAGGTTTGTGAAGGATTGTATCCTGTGGGTGGGACCCAATGCTGGAGCAGAAGAGTTAGGAGGAAGCAGCAGTAGATACATGAGTGGGAACCAATCACAAGCCCCATTCTCCTTCCCTTGTGATACTTGGAGGAGGAGGTAGAAGACTTGGGAGTGAAGCTGAGTCTGGGAAGAAGCAGTGGGGTTGAGGGAAGCTGGTTTTAGTTTTGGTTTTATTTCTCACTCTCCTACTTTGCTATTAATTAACATAAATAAACTAATCTTCCTGTGGTGGTCAGTGATAAATGATTTTCCTGTCCTTTTCTTGACCCATAAGCCTTTCATCGTATTTTCTCCCCCTGTATTGCTAAGGATGAGAGGCAGGATGGAGTGACTTGGGGGCACTTAGGAGCCAGCCAAGGTTAACTCATCACAGTGTTGTACAGCAGCTAATTTTAACATTAATCAGAAATGCCTTAAAATAAATAGAGTTTTAGCTGAATTCAATATGGATGTTGCTTCTGAAGTTAGTTGAGAGTTTGAACGGATGCTAAAGCAGAGAAGGAAACTTCTTGTTTATAGTCATTTCAGAGCATTTCACATTCAGGAAGTGGGTTCCAAGACTAAGTGCCCTGGCAGTTTCAGAAATTTATTCCTGCTGATGGTAGTTTATGTAACATAATGAAAAGGATTGATGGTGTTGGATTGTATTCCAAGTGTAACACCTCTGTAGCTGGCACCAGGAGAGTGCTTTCTCCATTTATTGGGAATGCCATGTTCCAGGGCTGAATCCTGCTTGTACCATACCTGTCACTGCAGGACAAAGTGACCAGGTCAAATTTTACTTACACTGGTAGTGTAACAAATCGGTGTGGTATGGTTTGGGTTTATCCTTCAGACATATTTAGAGCCAAGATGAACTCATACGCAGTATCTCCTCTTCATCTAAGGATTTGGAAAAGCAGAATGTGAAATCCAATGTAGAAAAGCATTATAGTTGCATTTAATAGGCACCATTAAGGAATGAAATGCCAAAGTCAGATTACTATCTAATGAAAATAAGGCTTTTTAAGATGTACTAAATACATATGAAAGGTGTACTAAATTGGGTTTTAGGTGCAAATTCATATTTCCGACAGCAATTAATAATATATTTAGCTTGGAAATGAAAAAAAAAACATAGTAACATAAAATGTGAATGTAGCTAATCAGTAGAAGATGGGGCTTATACTTACTTTTTCTTGATTAATTCCTGTCTTCAGAATGATTTAAAACCAAGTAGTCTTGAAATAGTTTTAATGCTCCTGCATGTTTGGAGAGTCCGCTTTCAAAGTATGAACCAAATCTTCCTGTCTAGCAAAAAACAAGCAATACTAGTTAGTGATCACTTCTAATTTTCAGGATGTTGCTAATTTGATGCTGAATTGCTTGCTAAGAAAAGGAGCTTGGGGTTACAGTGGAAGTTTCAGATTCCACAGGACCCTGCAGTGCAGAGTGCAATAAGTGGCATCCTTTCAGATGTTAATAAAACACAGATAAAGAGCAGCCACTGGGACACATTTCAGATTAAAAGATAATTTATCTTTGCATGTAGGATAATAACTAAATTAGAGGAATGTACTTTTTAACTCAGACTTAGAACTTCATTATGTTAAACTCTCAAAAGCAAAAATTTACTTCAGAATCCTAACGTATCCTGCTATTTTAACTGGGATTAGATGTTTTCATTCAAGTTTTGGAGTCCAGTCAGAAGATGTTAGTGACACAAATTCTGAACTTTTTTTTTGACAAATGAATTCTCACAATAAGTAGATAAAGGCAGATGTATTTCAGAAGGCAAAATATTTTCAATGAAAAGAGTGAAGTCTGAACCTGGATGTTCTCTCCTGCTGTCAGCCCTGAAGATAATTTGCTAATGTTCCATCTTCTTTGCTGTTCTTTGGCTGCTGTTGCTACTGCCCGGTAATGTGAGATGTGTTTGTCTGTTTTATTTCTTTCTCCTTGAACGTGCATTTGCAAATGCAGTTTTTCCTGTTTTCCCCACGCCTGCAGCAGGACAACCTGGGATCGCAGTTCAGCCACCTGAGCCTGGCGCGGCAGCCGCCGGCCGAGGGCGCGGAGCCGGGCCCGGCGCTGTTCCAGCCCGGCGTGGTGCTGCAGCCGCCGCAGCAGCCGGGCTACATCCTGAGCGCCGCGCCCGCCGCAGCGCAGCCCCCGCCGCAGCCCTACTCGGGCCCCGGGCACGCCGTGGGCCAGCCCGTGCTCCCGCAGCATCCGCAGGGATACGTGCAGCAGCCCGTGCCACAGGTACCGCGCTCCTGCGAGAGCTGGGGGGAAACGACCCTGCTCTCCTGCTGCTCCTGCAGTCTGGGGCTCCCTGGGGAACTGCAGCTCTGCTGTTCTTCTGGGGTTGAGGTCTGTTCTGTAATGAATGACTTCAGTTTACTTGAGGAAAGTCAACTTTCAGCAAGGAAAGTAGAGAAATTGGCTGTTAAAGAGGGAATTTATATAATATAAGGGATTTTTGAATCACTGAATTATTTATCATCTGTTGCACCTTTTAATAAATTATCCTTCTTTGTTTTATGGATTTTGCATTTAGATGCCTGCCTTCTCAAGAGCTGCATGCAGGCAGTGACCCTGTGACTGTTCCTTTGCAGATGCCACCCTGTTACTGTACCCCCAGCCAGTACCCGCACTCCAGCCAGCAGTACCGCCCTGTTTCTGTCCATTACAGCACGCAGCAGAGCCAGGCCCTGCCCCAGCCTGGCCAGCAGACAGGTTTGTTCAACTCTTCCAGCATTTCTTTAGAGCGCTTTGGGTGGTTTTTCTCCTGCTTTTTCATTTTAAACTTACTTTGCTGTAAAATTTCAAATAAAGTAGAGGATCAAATGTAAAATACAAAGTGTAACTAACCTAAGGTGGAAATATTTGAGGCACTTGGGCATGAAACTTGGGGTTCAAGCCATTCCTTTGAATGGCTTATGCTGTGACTTTAATTACAGAGGTTTTAAAATGTAAAAGTTAATAGTTTTAAAAATTTGTAACTTAGTAGCTAATTACTTGATTAACTTGCAAAGTAAGATAAATTAGTACCTTTAAATGATGTAACATTAAAGAGATGTACCTTGACTGAAAGTTCTAAGCTAAAGATCCTAATCTTAGATGCTGTGGCATGAAAAGAGTTCTGTGCAGAAGATATTGGTGATCCTGCTTTACTCTGTCTTTTTGTCCTATGATCAAAGGTGTCAGGGTATTGGACGGAATACATAATGTGGTTATCTATTTTAGCAAAGACTTTTCAGCTGAGTTATCCTTCTGTGAATGTTAGCAAGCTTCATTTCCATCTCCTTCCTTTCTTCTTGTCTTTTTTTTCCTTACAGATTTTAACTGTAGGCTACCATTATTCTCACAATCTACTTCTAAATACTGTTATGACTTCTTCAGTAAGATTTGTATTCCTGAAACAAATTTACTTCTCAGTAATATCTTGGCTCATGGTCAAAACTTTCAGAAGTGACTAGTGATGTTTGGAGGCAGAGATCCTTAAAGACCAGGCTTTTATACCAGCTCTTAGTTGAATATGTAACATCCTTCTGAGTTACCTTCAGGAGGGTCTTTTTAATTCCTTCCCCTGCCCCCTCTACGTGTTGCTGTACAGAAACAGGATGGAAGATCAACTTTTACAAATATTAACTTTGTTTATGTCCTATGAAGCAGCATGTAAAGAGGGATGGCTCCTCTTCTGCACTTCTTCCAGGGAGTGCTCCAATAGTAGCAACAATTGATGGAGTTATTCAGGGTTCAGTTCACAAAGATTTTTTTCAAAGGAAAACAAATTACTTGGTTTTGCAACTTCTGTTATCCAGTAGTGTCAGAGATGTGTTACCCAACTGTATTTCACAGCCTGCTTTCCTTCCTCAGCATTTTTAATACCTACACTACTTAACAGCAAAAAGTCTGAGGCTCAAGGGGGATTACTTCCCACTGTGGGGACACCCTGTGTGAGTAGCACACAAACTCCCCAAATCAGAGAGCTCAGTGTACATTTGTACCCAAACAAACCAGTCTGAATTGGAAAGCATGGCGTGATAAGATGCACAGGGATGAACTGATTTCTATTAGGTAAGTTCCTTTCTTGTATGTTTTTAGCTCTTTATATTTTAACTGAATTTCACTGCCTGTGGGTAAAAAGTGTCAGCAGATAAAGTTCCTCTCTGTCCTGGAAGAAATAAAATAAGGAAGCTGTGCAGGCAGCTGCTCCACTGCTTTGATCGTGTGCCCTGTACCTGCACTCTGACATCAAGGGATCATGTTTGGGTAGTATGGGGATGGTCCAGCCAATAATTCTATTCAGTGTTGGGTTATGTGGTGTTTACCAGCACTAATGGGAGAAAGAAGGCTCTTACCAGAAACTGCAGAATTAGTGTTTAACTGAAAATCTCCAAACTGCTCTCCAGCTATTGCTGGTTCTCATTTAATGCTTTATAGGCAAATTTGAATCAGCATTTTAGAAACTGATGGTTCCATGTCTTGTTATGTGTTCTGGAAATACTTCACCAAGATGGTATATTTGAAAATGCTCTCCCTTGTAATTTATTTTAAACCATTGATATTTGCATTAATTTGACATAAAGCTACACCCGAAGTGGTTGATGCTTATTAGCAATGTGTGGTTTTGAGCCAAAGGCATCACGTTACTTGGCTCATACAGCAAAGTGGCTGGGCAAAAATGAGAGTTACAAATCTGGCATTACATAAAAGCCATGGGAGTTGTTCATCTCAGGAAGTGGTTACTAACTATAACATAACTTTGCAAACACAAATTCAGATAAAAGATGGCAGCTTCTGAGATCATGGCAACTGCAGCCGCTTCTGCTCTAATGCTGAGGAGTGGCCTGACTTCCTTGCTGAGCTGTTGGATTCGGGGCCGTAACACTGTCTGAGAGGTTTACATTTCTCACAGTGAACCGGTCTCTTTTTCAGCTGCTTCCTGGCTTCCTTATAAAGGGGTTTCAGGTGAAATATTTTGGGAGGTTCCCTTTTAATAAAAATGCTTTTGTTGCCCAAAAGATGTTGGGAGAAGAAAACTCTCCTTAAGAAAAAAAGCATTTCCAATTGCCGTGTTAATGTGAGCCCAGTTACCATGAGACCTAACTAACTACAGGTTGTTTAAAAATCTAGTCTGAACTACAGTTCCTGTAGGAACATATGCAGTTCAACTGGCTTCTGCTTCACAAGGCAGGGATAAAACTACTCCAGTTACAGTAACTGTAGCTGTAATAGTCATAACCAAGCTCATCAACTCCCAGCTTGTTAACAGAGTGCTTGTACTTGCTTTTCTGTTCTTCAATAAACACTGTTTCTTACCCCTAATGCATTATTCAAAAAATGTATTTCTATATTCTGTGAGTTAACTCTTCTTATATTAACTGTGACTTCTCTTGAATTATGTAAATATTAAGAGACCTGCTCCTATTTTTACCTCCAGTTTCAGAGTATTTCTGTGTAATGGGACAATCTGCTGTGGCAGGTGTGGGGTTTGTGCTGAGTGCTGCATTTCTGTCAGCCCACTCTGTGCAGAGGTGAAGCTGCAGCTAAAAATAGAGCATTCTTTGGAACGCTCTGGGGAACCTTCGTGGCAGCCAATTTGTATTGTTCCAGTCCGCTCTGCTTGCAGAATTGATTGTATCTGTCTCTGCAAGTGCCAGAAAAGGCTGCAGAACTACTCACGGGGCCATTGCAATTTCTGGGACACGAGGGGTTCAGACTGTGGGTGCACTGTCACAGCACAACTTCCCATTCTGCTGCTTTTTACGGGCCATAGATCGCTTTATCACAAAGTATGTTAAAGCATTTTGTATATTACAGATATGAAGGGCATTTTGTACACAGTTCAAACTTAAGTTTTTAAAAATTCTAAGTACTAATCCTACTTCAAGCATGTATTGTTCTGAAGTTTTGTCCAGTCCTCTGAAAATATTTATAGTGTTGTATGTTTCTAATGAATAGCTGTCTTGGTTTTAACAAACAGAATCTTCTTCCCTTTAATTTTCTGAAGCAATATTTGATAATATTAACAGTCTTCTTTTAGTGTTCATTGTTGTAATTTCTATAGAGAGCCTGCTGAGGCTGTTAGTGCACAATGTTCATTGTACTGTGTGAACGAAATCAATGAACATCGGAGGGTGCTGCTCACAGAAAGGTGTTTTATGATAACTGGATTACTTTCAGAATAGACTGAGCCTTTTTTAGCACAATTTAAAGAAAACCCAAGGGAGTTTTTGCAGCTAAATTTGCTCTATTATAGTTCCTTGCCAAGGTAGGGAGCATGTCAAGGTCAGTGGGCTGTGAATGTGTCCAACTCAAGCACAGACTCTTCTTGCCGTCAGTGCATCTTGACATGCCCAGTTTTGTTATTCTGGAGGGATAACTGGCTTTGTCTCAGAAACACTGACTGTGTTGGGGTTTTGCTGATGTGGTAAGTAGTGCATACCTGTATGATGGAACATGAGAGAAAAAGAAATTGTGTTCTGCATGTGTTTGGATCATGGTAGCAGCTACCTGCAAAATGCTTTTTAAAAAAAGAGGAAAGGAGGAGTTTAGGTTGGACTTTTATAAATGCATAAACTTCCTGTTTGGCACTTAATGCTTGGGGTGTTTTGGTTTGGGCTTTGGGGCAGGGTGGGGTGGGGTTTTTTAGGCAATTTTTGAAAGATAGGAGAGGATACTCGTTTAAGCAATAATAAATTGTTTTACAGACACTATAGAAGGGTGAATATGAAAAATCTTTGTGTCCCTAAGATAACTTTGAATATAAAATATCTTCTGCTGTGTACTAATATGGCTTGAACTTAGAAGATTTTTCTCAGTACCCAGTTGGTTTTAGCATTGCAGATTTCAGAAGAAATTGCCCCTATGGAAAGGATTTGCACACAGGCCTTATGCAAATTTTCCTGAAGTCTGACTTACTTTCGAATTGCAGTCAAGATGCTCTGACCCCTGGGGCACCTGAGGTCCAAGCTGAATTTTGCATATGTAGAATTTTCAAACTGAAGTTCCTGGAATGGCCTTGTTCACAGTACCAGACAATGAATTGGGTTTGACCCTGTCTAGCATGCTCTGTTCGAGTGCTTCCAGCTTTCACCTGTCAAATCAAGGTGTTAATGCATGTGAGCCAGTGTAAATGAATAGTGCACGCATGTGGGAAGCAGCATTGCAAACAGTATGGATAATATTTCATGCTGAATCCAAATTAGTAAATCTATTAATTTTAATGTTGGCTTCTTTTTATATGCATGATAAGTTTACCTGTTGTGAAGCTGCCAGATTAAACAAGCCGTTGGAAAATGCTACATGTGTATTTTTGAATAGGTAACTATGTTTAAAATGTGTTCATTATTTCGAAGTAAGATTGAAATGTATAATTTCAGGTTACCAGATTTTGCCCAACCAGCAGCAAAACTACCAGGGTTTAGTTGGAGTTCAGCAGTCTCAAAATCAAAACCTAGTCAGTGGCCAACACAACAACATTGGGAATCAAATTCAAGGTGTGATTGTTCCATATCCCTCAGTGCCATCTTACCAGGTGGGTAATGTATTCATAACTTTCCAATGACTCTTCTGTGGGTTTGAGTGTTGGGGTTTTCTTTAAATCCTTTGCTTTATGTTGGAAATGGTAGAAAGCTGCAATCAGGTGCCAAAGGTGACTTTGGGGGACAGAAGCTAAAGATACAAACCCACAATTGAAGTAAGAAGAAATAAGAACTTGTCACAAGTGCACAAGTTGTAGTGCTGTCAAAAGCCAAGTGCTGCATCAGTTGCAGTTCAGAGGGTGGGGAAGAAAAGCTTGGAAGGTTTCCTTCCCACCATCACACTTTCTGTTGTGGAGAAAATACCTTGTTAATTCATGGAGTCCATTGGAGCCAACATTTCTATTTGGGAGGAAGAAGATTTAAAGATTTTTTTTTTTAATATGGTGTTGTTATTTTAGTTACTCTTACCACCATTATTCTGGATTTAGAGAACTCCAGGTGATCTTTCAGTTTCTGGGGTTATTTTAAAATTCTTATATCAACTGGATGATGGTCAAGAGGCAGAAACATTGTCTGCAGGAGAAAATGTTACTGTGTGGCCCATTGCAGGTTTCGGTGCCTCAAGGTTCCCAAGCAGTGCCCCAGCAGACATATCAGCAGCCTGTTATAATTCCCAGTCAGTCCAGCCAAGGACTGCCCACCACAGGAATGCCAGTCTACTACAGTGTCATTCCATCAGGTCAGCAGAACAATCTAAGGTAAGTTGAACTGATACTTGATTTCTCAGCAGCTGGGCTTAATGGCTTTAGGCATTCTATTTATTTTTTGCTCTTATACAATTAAGTGAAACAAGTAGTACTGCTTTAACTGTGACATACTTGTTGGACTGGAAAACATTGTCTTCACAGCACTTTCAACAATACTTTACTGTAATTCCACCTCTTAAATTTTCTGCATTCCATTTCTTAACCATAAGACACCAGTGTGCTCAGCAGTTCAGTCCTTCTGCAGTAATATTTAAGATGACTATCCATATTTACTGATTTTGACAAAGATACTACATTAATAATGTGTAGAGGAAAAATAACTTGAATCCCAGAAAAAGACTGACTTCTTTTTTGGAAATTTGCATGGAAAAGGTTTAGCTTGCTTTGTATTGTAGATGAGGCCTGCTGGCACCAAGCTGGATGTGAAACAAGTATAGAAATTTGGCTTTTGTTTGATAAATAACTTTATATTTTAACCTACCTTGGTAGCAGCAAATTGGTCTGCATGTACAGGCCTCCCTGAATATACATCTGTGTCCCCAAAGCAGTCTTTTGAGAACAGATAGGCAAGTACCTGGGAGAATTCACTGGGATTCTTACAAATTCTTCTTTCTCGAGTTTTTTTGAACTTACAAATGTGCAGCATTTTTATGCCTGGGAGCTTTCAAACAAGCAGCAACAGTTTGAAGCTTGTTCATCCCTTTGAGAGTGCAGATCTCAGTAGTGTTTTTGTTATCGCTGTATGGTCTCATTACTTACATCTGGATTCCTGTTCTTTGTATCTGAAGGTTTTTTAATACTTTTCTGTTTTGTATCTGAGATTCAGTGAAGTCGCAGGTAGGCATAATTCCAGACTTTTATTGAATTAAGTTTGGTTGCTTGATCTTTTGTGTAAATTAGAATGTCCCTCTCATTTATTAGGAATTCAGAGCAAACTAGCAGCCAATGACAGCATTTGCTTTCATCAGAATAGTTATGCTGCAGCACTTGAACAAGGAAAGCAGAGTGCTGTTCTGCAGGAGCTGAGTGTCAAGCCTTCAGGTCACTGCTGAAAACTAGAATCAGTAGGCAGATCAGAAGATGTGTGAAAGCACCTGTGTTAGTTTTCACTTGGTTTTGTCTGCTTTAATGGAAGGGAATCTTTAAATTAAAATTATATAAGTGACCTATGGGACAAAGGATGGAACAAACTTTTGACAACATAGGTAAAAATAGTAGGTCCAAGAGGATTAAACCTATTTTTTTCCCCTCAATTTGAAGGAATTGTTTTATTCTAAGAATGGTTATCTGTTAGTACAGGATTCTATAGGCACTGTTCTGATTACGGTCCACCAACCTGGTATTCTGGCTGAGTATTAGTGGTAAATTAGTATCTAATTGTGTCTGTTACCTGGTTTTCCCCTGATTCCCCTGAAAAACTACCTGGCATAAATAAACTTTTGAAGTTATCCTTTTCCTATGTTTTGCAAACAGGATTCTGAATGGCTGTTTCTCCCCTGGAGTCCTGTTCCACCTCCCGCCCCCTTTGGGAAAGTGTCTCCTCCCTGGGCTGTGTCAGTGGGCCCTGGGGCAGAGCTGCTTTGGCGTGCTGCCCCAGCTGAGGGGCTGCATCCCATATCCTTGTGCCAGGGGCTGTGGGATCTTGTAACCCAGACCTAGTTCTGCTTCAGTGAGCAAGACAAGAAGTTGTCTTTTTATTGTTATTATTCTGCCTGTCTTTATGCTGATATAGAGCTGTGGACACAAAAATAGAATATTAAAATAGGTGAATTAATACAGTTTCTCAGTGTAGGTAGGGCACGTGTTTTTGCTACAGAAGAGGTGGGAAGCTTCGGTCTTCTGAAGAATGAATGAATTTGGAGTAGGTGGGACTATTAGTGATTTAAAATTAACAAAAGCTCAGTGATTTGCAGTACATGTACACAGCAAATGCAGAAGTCGTGATTAAATAAGTAGCATAAATGCCTGTTAGTCATGTTCCTTTTTTATTATTGCAGTTCATCTGTGGGATATTTGCAGCCTCCTGGATCAGAGCAGATACAGTTTCCTAGAACATCATCGCCATGCAACTCACAGCAGCTTCAAGGACAGCAGTGTGCAGGTTGGGAGAACAAAGTTTTTATTGATAAGCTTAAAAAATGTCTAGCTATTATTATGCAGGGTGATTGGATATATGCTATTAAGGGTTTGATTTAGAATTAACTGTTGTATTCTGTTTCTTCTTTTGTTCATTTTTGAATTTATTTTCCAGTTTTAACCCTGAGGCAGATTAATTTGAAATCTCAAATTTTTTATCTTAGAAATATCTCAAGTTACTTTCTTAAAATCCAGTACCATACATCTTAATACCTTGCACATCTATGGGTGAGTTAAGGCAGACATGGGAGCCGTACACTGGCAGCAGAATCGCTTCCATCCTTTTCTGAACAGCCAGATGGGTCTGAAAACTTTGAGATTTGGGTTTCTCTTTGACAGAAGGAGTGAGGTACATTTTGGAAGCAGCATATTTGGCTCTTCTGCTCAAGAACCATTCTAGATTTCAGTTAACAGAGTAGGAGCAGTGATTTTCTTACAAGGTCTTGAAATCTGAGCATTGTGGGGTAGCTTTTTTACCTGCTGGAAAGCTGAAATTACTTCAAAGCTGTGTGGGGTGTTTTATTTTTATGGCGGCCTTATTTACTTCTTTTACTTTCATAGTTTATAGCAACCATTCAAGTCAGAAGCCATCACCTCCTACATTATTGCCACCTTCATCCAAGTCAAAGCCACAGCAGGCTGCTTCCATTGTGCACTACAGCATAGTGTCTCCACCCTCATCATGTAAAAGTTCACCCACTGGTCTTTCCATCATGCAGCCAAAAAAAGGTATATTTTACTGGGATTTTCATATAAGCCATTCTGTCTAGAACATGCTGTAAATTTTCAGACTGGTTTCATGGCTAACTGTTAGAACAACTGCAACTTGAGTGCCATCTCTGATTTATTTTTTTTAATTCTTCATCTGTATTGGTATTATTGTATCTTTTAAAATGATACATTGGATTTAAGTGAAACAGTGGCTCATGGGGACAGCCTGGAGGCCACCCTCAGCAGGTAAATGTTACTCAGGAGAAACATTTAAGTCAGGTTCAGATTTGGATGTACAGAATACTTGGGTAATTTTTAGAAAGTGTGTAAACAGAAACCTCAATGTGTTTGAAAGCAGTGCTGATGTAGATCTTGCCAATCCATGAAACCTTTATAAATGTTAATATCCAAACACTTAAAACTCTGAAGGTCCAACCATAAAATTGATGATGGACAGGTCAGGAAAATAAGAGCACTGGGGTTAGCCACCAAACAAGAGATTTCAGGACAGTCCTGTGACCACAGTGGCATGGTCTTTATTTACTATTAGGGTATTTGATCCATTGGAGGCTTGCTTGGTAAAAAAAGGGATAATCTCAAATTCTGCTCTCTCAGTATTTTGCAAGCAAGCACTAGATTAAACAACCCTAGATCAATGACCTAGATTCTGCTACAGATGTGGTGTTTCTTACAAACATTTATCTTTAAAGTGTGTTTTGAACCTGTTTATTAGTAAATAGATAACATGCAGTTAAGTGGTAAAATAGCTGGATTAGCAGTTCATGGGCAGGTTTGGTTTGGTTTCCATTTTGTTTCAAGTTTGTTTGGCTTTAATTCTGGAAGATTGTAATTTCAGAATGGTTAAAAGGAGCCTTGCACTAGTTTGTTTTTCTGCCCTCCTATCTATCCTGGAAGTGCTGGTTTTGTGCAGTTTTGGTGGCCTGGTTCAGACTGTAAACTGGGGGTTAAGGAAGTTTCAGGAAGGAGAAAGCCCTCTATGGGGAGCAGATTCTGGGGAATAAATCAAAACTTGTGCTTCTCAGCAAGTGAAGACATTGAGATGCTGAGTGAAGGCCTCTGAGGCAGGGCCAATGAGCAGGTCCACAGACAAGCAGCAGAGCTGTGTTACAGCTGTGTTACACTGTAAAGCTGGGGAGGCTTTGAAGGATTTCTGGGTTTCCTTTCTCATGGGATTTGACAGGTCATAAAGTGTCTGCAAACTGACTTATGCACTGTATGACACTTCATTGTGTCAGGATACTTGGTTGGGAAAAGAATTCCCTTTATTTTCATTTCCTGAAATGCTGGGGAATTAGAAGCAAAAGAAAACCCAAATTTTTCTGAACGTATAAAGTTTTCTTTTGCAGTTTAAATTGCATTTTAGATTGACACTCTTTAGAGATGATGCTGTAGGTGTTTCTGAAAGATAAACATGTTTTTGTTGGGTGTTCCATTCTCACAGAACAGATAAGTCAGGAGTATATTAGAGTGTTGCAGAGTGAAATACTGAATATAAACCAGTAAGCTGTAAATTATTATAATTTATAAAATATTTATATGTATTCATATAATATTAAAATGAAACCCATTTTTGTGTGCTAGACATAGTTTGTATTTAGGTGTTTGGTATATCTCAGGTTTACATATAGGGACTACATAGGGACTAGATAAGTTTATGGCTTTACCAGTGGAAAACTGTTGTATATTATTCTGATTATGCAGCAATCATAAACAGAGTTTTGTTTTATTCTGTTGTGCAACAAAACAGAAATATTCACAGTGTAGCTCTTGCAGGGGACTCCCTTATTTATATCCTCTGCTAAAGTTGGCCAGATACCTGATGCTTAGATTGCAATCTGTTAGTCCTGAGTAAAACTTTTTGCCATTAGAAAGAAAGTATAGCTGTGAAGACATTGTTAATTTAGTTACCCATGTAATAAATAATTCCAAATACAATTTACAAAAGCTATTGTAGTTTTAATGTTATGCATTCCTTATTCTACATTGTTTGGTCTGATTTTTGAAGAAGTCTCTTATGGAGCCCAGGGGTAGTGGAAACAACAGCCCATTATAAAATACACCAGATAAATGCATTTTATAATCTGTATCTTGATGCTATGACATGGCAGTAGATTGAGAAGACTGCAGAATCCTGCTTTCTGGATGATTAAATTATGTTTAAACTGTGTGTTTTAATCGTGGTTTCTGAAAAATGTTGTAGAAAGTGGGTAGAGTAGAGAAGGAAATTGCAAACAACCATTTACAAAGCAGAGGAGGGAGATGGTTTGTCTCTTGGGCAGCCTCTCCTTACAGCTCCTGGTGTGAAACCTCGTGCAACAGTGCTGGATGTTGAGGTGTTCTCCCCTGACTCTGGACTTTCTGTGGCTACCACAGGACCCAAGTGGGACAGGGTGTGGGGATCAGTTTGCAGTATCTGCTCGAAAAGTATTCCAAAGAGAACTCGTAAGTGAGGATAAGCTTGCCTAGGCTAAAGGTTGGTCCCAGGTCTTTCTGCTGTATGCCATCCTATCAGAGAAAACATTTTGAGTCTGCATTGCTGTACTTCATGTAAAACTAGGAAACTTCTATTTTTCAATGAAGCATATTTTCACTTAATACCACATTCTCCAACACACTGCTGTGACAGAAACTGCAGTGAATGTTGAGTACTGTCAACTACTAATAAATAGAGCGATTTCTTCCAAAAATATTCTCAGCAATGAGTTTCAGCGGCTCCACTATCTCGTTTTCTGGGAAGCCCTCTCTAAGTGAACTGCTGCAGGTGTAGCTGGTAGTGGAAGTGTAATAGTACAGAAGAAAGCGCTGCAGTTTTCTAGAATCAGCAGCTTTAGCAGCAGGCGTCCCGCGCGCTCCCTGCCCTTTTCCCGGTGCTGACCGCCCCGTGGCTCCTGTGTTGCAGCCGCGGCGCCCGCCGGGGGAGTGGTGATGATGCAGCTCAACGTGCCCGGCAGCGCCGCGCCGCGGAACCCGTCACCGCCGCAGAGGAAGGCCGGCAAGTACTACTGTGAGCACCCCCGCGGGCACAAGGCCACGGAACTCAGCACTTTAGACGGTGCTGCACAGGTAGGAGTGCTGGTTTGCTTCTCCAGGATGACTTAAAATATGCGTAAATCCTGTCTTTTTTAAAAAGCTATTTTGGGGGAATAAAAATCTTGCTCTGATTAGATTTAATAGAGCTATTTTAACTTCATTGAAATCTTTAAAGGCTGTGGGTGCTGTTCAGCTTGTTCAGGTAGTGCTTTCTGAAACACTAAGGTGTTGTTTATTCCAGCTGCAGCATAGTCCTCAACTGGGCAGCCCTGCCACCTCACCGGCCCAATCACCAGCACCAGCCCAGCTGTCAAACATGAAGAACATCCGTCCCACACTGACACCTCTTTCTATTGTGTCCCAGTTTTCTAGACCTTTTGTCCCTGGACAAGGTATATTTTTAGTTAACTAAAATGTGTGTGTGGTTTCTATTTGAATGTTTTAAAGTACCAAGTTATATGAGGATTGTCTGATGAGTTGTGGCTCACTTTAGTAGTATTGCTGTTGAAGCAGAATCACCAAAATTATTCACTCAAACATCATTTAAAATTTCACCTTATCACTCTGCACTGGTACTGTCTCCCAGATCTTCAAAGGATTTTCATCTCCTCATAATGTGCTTCTCTAGCACACTGGCCTACTCATATTGTGACATTTCCCATTTCAGCATTGAAAATATTAATAAAATGTTTGCTAGAATTTAGCTTAAAGTCTTAACCATAAATCATTAGTTGATAATGCACTGAAATGCATCACTGCCTAAGCATGTCTTCTTCATTCCTCTGTAGAACAACAAGCATGATGGGATGGAGCCTCTAGCCAGGACTGTACCTCAGTTTGTATTTCAGATAGGACCCACCCAAGGACACAAAAAATTCCTTGTAGAAGAATTTCAATCTTAAAACAGAAAATAGGGAGTTTTCACTGAGTTGGAATAGTTGATAATACAATGATATAAACCCCTTTTGTCAGTGAGCAAAAGTATCCTGGTAAAATTCTCAAACTCAAAATTAACAATTCAATTTTACAGAAAGATTTACTTTAAATCAAAACTTACAGAAAAATCTCTGTCTCTCTTATTTATAAAGAGAATCTTATTTTCTTGTCTTTGTCTTATTTGTTGCATAATCTTCATCATTGCTTTGTATTCTGATGGTGTAAAAATTCCAGGTGGGCTGTTTGAAGCACATATCTTAGCTCTCTTAATCTGCTGTGATTACTGAAATCTTCTAGTGCGTTGTCTTTGTGCATCCTTGCAAGAAATAGGAATCTAAAGATGGACCTGGCTCTAATCAGGGCTATAACCATGAAATGACTAAATTAGCATGCTGAGAGGAGTTTTAGACTTATTAAGCTTATTTTGAAAAGAAAAGACTTATCTAAGACTGCAGTGAATAAAAACTTTGAGTGTAATCCCTAAATAGCAGAAAGTTTGTACCTTTTCACCTTGGGATCAGGACGTGCTGACACTGATGGAGTCAGGGCAGCTCTGAGTTTGTTAGCTCAGCCAGACACTCAGCTTTGTGCACAGCAGGTCCGCTTTCTCTTCTGTGTTACATATTCAGTGTGAGAGGGACGTGGAGGAAGATTTCCTGTAACAGAAAAACCCTTCTAATTACCTTTCTCTTTAAGGAGATGCCAGATACCCATTGCTTGGCCAACCCCTGCAATACAATCCATCTTTGTTACGTGGACAAGTAACAAGCCAACAGGTATTAAAAGAGAACAATCTCATGACACAATGAAAAAAAACCAATTCAGGACTACCATTACAACCTCCTAGAATAGGGGAATGTGTTATTGCACTTGGAGAGTAATTGAGTGCAAGGTGCTTGCTTTGCAGTAAGTTTTATTCCATGTCAATACTCCCCATTGTTCTTGTTTGTTGTATTAAACGGTGAGAACATTTATCTGAACTTTTACTTTTAGGCACAGTGTAGACGATGGTTTTCATTTTAAGCAATTCACTAGCTAATTCAAAAATCTAAAGGGTTTAGACCCTTTGCTAAAACTATTTTCTTTTATTCAAGTAACCATTTCTAAAAAAAATACATGTGGGAGTTTTCAAACAAAGAATGGGTTTGTTCCTTTTAAGAAAAACAAACCCAAAATATTTGTGTTAGCAAAGTTGAAAAGTCTTTCCCTCTATTTAATTTTTGGGACACACAAACCCCCTGCCTCTACCTTGCTCAGTTCCACCCAATGCCAGCTAGAGGATGTGATGGCTGGGGCAGGGGGATGTTTTTCCAAGATGATTTAAAGTGATTTTTTTTCCCCCATCATCGCCTCCCTTTCTTCTGTAGTGAAGGATTGAATGTGGCTGACTGTAGGATTGTCAAACTCAGTAATTAAAATTGGATGTGAAAATCTTCTCTGTCCCATGGTAGTGCAGGTTATTTTCCAGAAATTGCTCTGCACTGATTGTCACTGAGCTGACTAGAAATTTTAAGGTACTGGTGGATTGTCATTGAAGTCCTCCCTTTATGTCAATCTTTCCAGTGTCAGCCTGGAAACAGACATGGAAACAGGGGAAAGAAACCAGCAAAGAAGGCTGCTTCAGCAGATCTTGGTGCAGGAGAACCAGGTATAGAATTGCTGACTGACACAGTCCTCCAGAAAAATGAATTATGGTGATGGGCTGGGAATGTGCAAGAAAAGCAGAGGTGAGAAGGGCCAGAGCAAAGAGAAATTGGACAGAAATGGACGTGGCAAACACTGGAAACATAAGGATGGGGAGGAAGACATGGAGAGAGGGGAAGAGGATGTTAAATGGAAAAAGTGGAGTTTTGACGGCTGGAGAAAAGACCAGAGAAGTTTAGTATTGGAGAGTACTAAAAGAAAGAGCAAGTGTGTCAGTTTACTGGGCCTAAGTCCTATGATATTGTTACATTAAATATTAAATATACATACCCCTGCTTCCTTTTACTGGCCTAACAAGTGAAATCAGACATAAACCACAAATTAGTTTGTGCTCTTCGGTTTGTTGTTTTTTTTTTTAGTTTTTCCCATTCTAGTATATTTAAGCATATGGATGTGGGAGACATACTAGGAGATCTACAGATTAGCTTGTTGGAATTGGTAAAGATGTCATCTTCTATGATGAAAATAAAATAAAATCTGATGGCATCTATCTTAATACCTTTACTGAGAATTTTTGATACCTGCTGTCAACTATTCACAGCAAGTTCCCGAAAAATCAGCTTTTCTAACGATTTAATGGAAAGGATTTTTTTTGAGGTAAGACAGACTAGTTTTTTGCCATGGTGAAGTGTGAAGCATTACCAGACAAGGCCAGTGAGATGCTATAGTGAGTTCTGAATCCTGCTGCAAAATGAGTTATTGATGATTTTATTATTTCCCCTCTTTGTTCTGAGGACCCTCTTTGTATTCCCAGCTTTTATTTGCACACTTGTACAAGTAAGCAAATTGTATTTTAAGCAGCACTAAATGTTAGATCAAAGGCTCTCTAGAATATCAGGAAGGCAAATCCTGTGGATTTGGTATCAGCCAACTGGAGATACAAGTATGAAATAAGTAATTTTCCGTTTAGGATGATGTATCATTAATGCAATAACCGACTTAGATTGTTTTTCTTCTTTCAGTTGTGGGGAAAGTTCTAGAAATTACTGAGCTGCCGGAAGGCATAACTCGTATGGAAGCAGAGAAACTCTTTGGAGAACTGTTGAAAGTGGGTGCCAAGATCCGGTGGCTGAGGGATTCGCAGTGCCTGCAGGCGCAGCAGCGGCGGCTCTGCGGGGACGGGGGCCCGGAGCCCTCGCGGGCCGGGGACTTGGCGTCCACCTACACGGTTCTGGCCACCTTCCCCAGCATGGCGGCCGCGCAGAGCGCGCTCAAGAGGCAGAGCGGCGCCGCGCTCAGCAAGTTCCGCCTGAGAACCAGCAAGAAGCACTACGACCTCCACGTGCTGGAGAGGGCCAGCTCTCAGTAGCACTCACACCGCTGGACACTCGGCCTCTACGACTTCCATGCCCTCCCTCCTCGATTGGTTTGATGTCATGGGGTTTCTGTTCTCTTCAGAGAGACTCCTGGGATGTTTTGTCACATGACGTTTGCCATTGAAGAATAAATAACTCGGTGAATCCAGCAAGATGAAGAAAACAATTTACAGAGTTACTCCCAGACAATAGCAAGGAATCATCTTTGTGACAGTCAGCTTTCTGTAAGGAATGCTGCTGAAATGCCCCCTACTTTTATAGTAGTTTTGTTTTATATTTTTGAAATCTTGTATCAGATCCAAAGTTCTATTGTACAGCAGATGTTCATAAAAATCCATATGCAGATTTGTATTTTATAATCCCTTTTCACAGCCAGCACACAGCAGTCCATTCCAAGGCAGGAACCTGAGGATTGGTGGAGGGGAAAAGAGAACCATTCTCAAGGAATTACGTTCATTTTTTAGCAAACTACCCAAGATCTTCAAGTTAACCTGTTCTTTGCCCCTTGTGTGTTTTTTCTTTTTTTATTTCTTTTTGTCTGTTTCTTCTATTTCTATTTTTCTTTAAAAAAAAAAAAAAGTATAATTTTAGTAACTAACTCCTGAGGTCCTTGTCTTTTTCAATATAGTCAAACAATGTCAAAAGAAATTACAAGTTTGTATCCTTGAAGAATTTGCTTCTGATCCAGCAAGTTAAATAATTACTAGAAGGGGATTATGAATAGGTTACAAAGATAATGTTCACTGAATCACATTTTAATATTTCTTTTTAACAAAAACGTGAAGACACTTTATGTATCTTCTTACAAGTGACAAAATGTTTGCACTTTAATTGCGTTTCCACCAGTATGGGTCTCTTTCTCTTCCTTTTCACGCTAAGATAATTGTGTTTGGTAAGTGCTGGAAACCTTTTTAATAGTTTAAGTTTTCATCATTTGCAGATGCTCGCTGGACATTAAAGATTCATTGCACATAAATGAAACAACTTTTTTCAACTTGTGTAATTTGCAAGTCTGTACAATGTGTGCTGATGCAAGCCTTTTTCAGTTCAAAAGAATAAATGTTTACAAACACAAACTTTTTCAGTGCACTTGTTTAAGCTTCTAGGAGTCTTCTGAAACCTGAATGAGCTGATATTAATGGCTGGAATCCTTTCAAATGTGAGAAAACAACTTGAACCCACAAATATGGCAACCTCTTAAAAAACCACCTGCTGTTTCCTCCTCTGGCATTTATGTTATCCAGCCCTTCATAATATTTAAATGTTTCTCTATAAAAGTAAAAAAGGAGAAATTAATCAGATGCTGTAAGGGGCTGCTCCTGATTTTTTATTTTTAGCTCAGGAACTGATTTGGTGTGTAGACAAGCAACTACTTGGTCACTTCATAAGGCTATCATTTTGTGCGTTTGTGACTTCTGAAAGAGGAAACTCAAGGTAAACTCTGTGTTTAAAAACATTTTACATGGGGTAAAGGTGAAGAATTAAAGTGCCTAAACCAGCATTAATTTTCATAGTTTATACAAATTATTCTATCCCTGAACACCCAAACAGTGATGACTTGGAGGAAAACTTAGAAAACTGACCTGTCTGGGAATAATGTAGCCTAATTAATGTGTTTTATGGTACTTGATTCTGTGAAATGCTGCAGCCACAGTATTTACTAAAGGTCAGCTTAGATGCTCCCCTAAAACAAAAGGGAGAATGTTAACCTTCCAGTCCCCAGATAAAAGGCAAATCTACTCACTCAAAGGATGGTGCTTGGCATTGAATTGTGCTGAGGATGTATTTCTTGCTGCTCCTCGGGCTGGACTGCTGCAGTTTACTGCACCCAAAGCTGGTAAAACCCCCAGTTTATCAATGACCCCCTCCTCTGAACAGCTCAGACAACATGACTACTGCCTGCATTCTCACTGCCTCTTGCTGACTGCCATGCTAGTTTAGGATGATGGTTTAATCCTGTACAAGTAGCTAAGAGATTAAAGGGCTGTAGGGACACCTGTCTCAGCCCAGCAAGGCAGCTGCCTCCCATCATTAACTCATTCCACAAGAAGATTCTTCAGCTGTGGAAGGGTGGGCAGTACTGAGAGCTTCCATCTATTCTGAATGACCCCAGCACTACATTTGCATCAAATCAAACTCTTTCCAAAGGATATTGCATGGCTTGCTGCATTTCATAAACTGTCCTCATAATAAACAGAGAAGAAAAGGTAATGTGAGGTAAGAATGGAGAATGCAGCCCAAACAACAGAAAGGGAGGGATACACAGTTGGGAACAAGGCACGGAAAATATTTCATTTTTATCAAAGAAGTTGTAAACTTGAATGCAAGTTGCCCTAGAAGAAAAAATTAAAACCTGTAAGAAGCCAGTTGTATTCTAATGCAGAAACTGACCCTTTCCAGTTAGGCCTGCCATCCTTTCTGAGCCATCCTTTCTGAGTATGTTTTACTCTGTGTAGTAAACAGGGATGGTTATGTTATTTTGTCTGGATGTGTTGATATGAGCCACACAGGTACAATTCACAGGACTTTAGCACTGCCAGAGGTTCTGATGTCTACAGTGGGCAAAGTATTAAAGTATTTCCACTTCACAGTTGTGTTTATTCCTGGGTTTGTGCCATTTCATGCTTTCTCTAGTTAACAAACAGGATGCAAATTCATGTAACCAAGACAGTTTATACCTTTATACCCTTCTGCCCCTTTTGGTTCCTTAAACCACATAAGCCCAGGCACTATCTGCAAAACCCCTGGAATTGCATTTGTTCCACGGATCTGGATCACGGTCTAGTAAGCAAATAAAAGCACTTCATGCATGTGATAGATGCATGTAAAATACATTCTCATGTTCTCAACAAATCTTTTAGTAGTCCAGTGTATTTGAGCTTCCTCTTATTTACCATTAAAGCTATTTTTTAAACCAAATTGTGGCAAAAGGAATTAAGTGGGGACTTCCATTGCAGCAATATAATGTTTTGTTTTACTTGAGAGCATGTATTAACTTTTAGAACTAAGGAAAGCACTGGAAGAATAAGCAGAAAAGCTGAACAAATGCAGCCATTACCCACTCCACCAAAAGCTACTATTTCTTGATTTTAATTTTCAATTACTGCACTTACATTGTAAAATTCCTCCCTGAACTGTGAACACTTCATATCATTTCTGATATTAGCCAAAAAAAAAAAATTAAGAATAAAAATTTAAGCCCCATACTTTGAGGACTGTCCAAACTGCACAGGCCTGATGCTGGAATTGGGTGGATCATTCCAGCATACCCTAAAATTCATCCTCACAGCCCGCGTGTGCCTACCAGGCTGTGCCTGCTGTATTTTGGTAAGACAGGGTTGGTTGGAAACAAGCATCTTGCATCTCCCCTGACATTCCTCCCTGAGCAAATGTCACCTGTTCTAATAGGAAATGTTTTTCTTTCACTCACATACACTTAGAAAACTGACATGAAAAGGAGCAGAATGTCTAGGAAGGCAGAAGCTGTGCTTTGGTGTACACAGGCTGTAGTGCTTGGGTGTCTCCCGCTGTAACCACCCCTAATCCTTTTGCAGACAGGTGATGTTTGAAGATTGGCTGGCACAGGGCAGCTGTTTGCAGATGGGGTTCTATCAAAGCACCAGAAGAACTGTGCAGCTCAATGAATCCAGTAAAGTACCTGAGTACACAACACGCCTTTCACAGGGAGAACATTTTCCTATTTCCTATCTTCTTGCAAGCCAGATCCCTCTACAGGTGGAATGAATAGTTGTATTCTCATCCTATGACACTCATTTGTGCCTTAAAACTTCACACCTGACTTGTTTTGAGTTAACTTTGTACTAGCTTGGATGCCTGAAAGGGAGTCAAAATTACAACTTTCTATAAATACTATTTAACTCCATGATATATTTTTTCTACATAAAATTGGTGCAGGCTTCAAGTATTCATCCCTGAAGCAAAGAATGTTTAGATGAAGCTTTGGAGAAAACTGAGCAAAACACTTTTAAGTTACAGATCATGAAAAATTACTGCAGCTGGATTTTTATATATATTTCTAACTATGAAATAATTATTTCAATTCCTTCAATGTTTCTACAGCTTGGTTTTCATGAAGGTTGATACACTGCCTCTTCTCAATGTCCTACTCCTATTCACATTTAAAACATTTGGGGTATTTTGGCTATTGATGTCAGTAAGTATAAAATTAAAGTGCACAATGTTAATGTGACTTCATTTTGGACACGTCCTTAAAAGGGCCTGATTTTCAGAACAATCTGAAAATTAAGTCCCTGTAAGTTACCATATTCTAGAACCTACAAAGACCAAAGTCACCATTCACGTCCAAAACCTTCAGTGTAAATTAAGCTGCCTCTTGGATTACTTGAAAATGTGTGCAATTATGTTCTTAACCACAATGTATATGAGCCTCCTCTTACTTCAGCGTCTGCCTTGTCTTCAGACTTGTAGGGCTGGGGTTTGGCCCTGACTCAGTTCAGTAGCCCTCACTGCAAGGTTCATGTTTTATCCTGCTTGCAACCCTTTGATGTTTCACAGTGTCTGTCAAAATGTGTTGGGTTGAAAGCAGAATTTGCTGAAAATGTGATTAAGCATTAAAATCTGGTCCAGGACACAAACACTTCAGTGTTTGCTGCTATTTTTTCCTTCTCCAGTCTCACTGGTAGCAGAGTCATTATATGGGATGCTTGCAGCTGAATGGACTGTGCCTGCACTTGGGAAAAGAAATGGAATGTCAGATGAGCCTGGTGCTGTAAACCAAAGAGCTGTAGAGGACAACCTGTGTGTCGCTGGCAGTTGTATGCTTTTAAAACTGGAATAAGTTATAAAAATAAACTGTGTTGCTGTGGATAATGCTTAACAGTGAGATTTCTTCTTAATTCAGCTCCTGTGTCCCAGTTAACTGGGAATGTGAATTAGCTGGGGATTGATGATGAGCCACGGTGCTGACAGCAGTGGAATGTTTCAGACCCAGGTGAGCAGAGGTGGAAGGCACGCTCGACACTGGCTGGGGATGGACTGACTTCAACACCAAGGGATCTGTTACACTTGATCTCCCAAAATTGAAAAGAATATTTACAAGCAGTATTGCACATCATACTTCAATTACAGTGGCCTCAGTTTGAACTTGAGAGGGAGACACTGGCATTCTGCTTTTTTCTCATATCCTGATTTTTGCCCTAGTTGTGGGGTTAATTAGCTTCGCCCTTCTTTGGTTTTCCAATGTAGTTAGTAAGAAACACAATTATTAAGTGTGCTCTGATAGTCTACCACGCTGATTTATACAATCTGGGAAATACACCAGGCCTTAACTCCAGTTGCTCAAATTTGCTGATTTTTTACTTGGCTTAAATGGATACCTTTGATTTGTTAATTAACTGCTGATTTAGGGTGAAGCAACAGTGCAATTTAAAACAGGAATTCTCTAATAAAGATACTTTCCATTTTAATCCAGATGGATGTGTCCTGGTTTTGGGGAGAAAAAATTATTCTCTTAGAATGCAAATTACTGCCTTGCATTGTTTCCTATGCCAATAACTGAAAACACAAGACATCCCCCTTCAAAGAACTGAATGCCAGGTAATACTCCAGCTGTCAAACTACTTTTTCTCAATAAAATTTTCCATTTACTACCTAGTTATCCTGTCTTTTTCTAGGCCTACAAACTGCAGACCACTGTTGTTTCCAGACACACCTGTGCTGAAGGCTCTCAGATGAACAGCAAAGGCATATCCAACAAGTCAGTGACCCTACAGTTGGGAGAATGCCACTTCTAAAATTGCAGTTATTTGAGAATGTAATATAAATAATTCCTGAGGATGTAAGAGATTGTACACCTTCACAAAAATTGTATGTCCAGTCAACCGTAAGCCCTTCTTTTCCTTCCTTGTTTCAAGTGGTATCAAAGAGTTTGAAAATTGTATTTGCAAAACAATTTTCAAAACATACAGTGTTAAACATTTCACTCACCTTTCTCATGAAATTTGGCTTCCAACTTAGGGTTCCAAATCAGATGCAGTAAATGCAAAATACAGTTGCTGGAAATGCCAAAAAAAATAGTGCAACATATCCAAATGTATTAGAGAATTCAAGATACACCTTACAACCTAACCTCCTCCTCTACATGCAGTTGTGTGACAGAGATGTCTCTTTGTTAATCTCCAAAAACAAATTTAGTTTGATGCTATCCAACCTTTGGCATTGCCCTTAAATCTGTTTTGTAGCATAAGGAAAATACAAAAATATCTGATTTCTTAAAAATCCATCTCAGAAACATGTTCTGATGGTATTTCTTTAAGAAACTTGCAGAGGCACGACACACAAGCAAAGCTTACCCAGTGAGGATTACTGTGACACAATTTCCACACGCATCTTGGGAGAGGTAAAGCAGATTTTGTACACTGTTGTCAACACTGATTTGCTTCCTTTTCACTGTAAGTCTAAAAGATTTTTTTGTTATTACCCAGTTACACAAGGTACAACAGGAAAAGATTTCCAGACTGAGAGACTGTGTTTTTTGGCCTTTCAATATTTGAGTACCTGCCTCAGCAAGTTACCAGTACACACAGTCACAGTCATAATGGTGTTTTAGAAAAGCTCAAGTGAAGTGTTCTGTTCAAAATGTTATCATCAGAGCACTTGACATCAACTGTTGTTGGGAAGGAACAGCACTCCCTACAAACTGTCCTGTCCTCGTTGCTGTAAAATGTCTACTAAGGAGTCCTTATGCATTTTTGGCTGCGCTGTGCCAGTCCCTCACAAAGCCTGGGAGCACGGAGGATGTCCTGGCTTCACCTCCTGCCTCTCGTAGAGGAACTCCACACACCATACTCTATTTCTGTTCTATTTAACACAAGAACAAAACATAAGAACAAACATACGTTCCTCCATCACTTTTCCCCCCAGTCACGCCCTTGTCTCCCCCAGGGTGGGCGCTGGAGCAGGGATGGCTGCGGGATAGGTCCTCCAGCCCCGGCTGCAGGAGGTTCCCCCTTTTCTGGCAGCTGCCTCACAGAATCATGGAATTGTCATGGTTGGAAGGGAGCTCTGGACATCGCTTTGTCCAAACCCCTTCCGAGGCAGGGTCACCTGGAGCAGCAACACAGGAACGTGTCCAGGTGGGTTTGGAACATTTTCAGGGAGGCTGACCCCACACCCTCCCTGTTCCACCCCCAGTGGAAAGCTCTTCCTCGTGCTGAGGTGAAGTTCCTTGTACTTTAGTCTATTCCCATTGCTCCTCATCCTGCCACAGGGCACAACTGAAAAGATTCTGGCACCGTCCTCTTGGTACCTGACTTTGAGATGCTTATATTCTATTTGAGGCATTTATTCTGCATTACAGAATTACACTGGTTTAGAAAAGACCTCTGAGATCATAGAGTTCAAACTGACCAAACACCACGTCAACCAGACCATGGCACTCAGTGCCACGTCCAGTTTTTCTTCAAAGACCGAGAGGAACCGTGACTGCACCACCTCCCTGGGCAGCCTGTTCCAATGTCGAGGCATCCTCTCTGAGAAGAGATTTTCCCTGATGTCCAACCTAAAGCTGCCCTGGAGCAGCTTAAGGCTATGCCCTATCGTTGTGTGGCTGGCTCCGAGGGAGAAGAGCCTGACTCACACCAGGCTCCACCCGCCTGTAGTTGTAGAAGCGTTAAGGTCCCTCCTTTTCGCCAGGCTGAGATGCGCCCTCAGCCGCTCCTCACAGGACGTGCATAAACGAGATCCCCTCTCAGCCCTCCCCTCCCTAGGCTAAACCAGGCAGCTCCTCTCGCCTGTCCTGCCGCCCGAGCCCGGTTCGCAGGGGATAGCACCAGAGGTGACCACAGCATGCCGAAAGCAGCAGCACCTTTGCTACAGCGCCAAGATGGCGCCGGGCTGAGGGGGGCGGCACCGGGCACCGCCTCCCGCGCGCCGCCGGGGCGGGCCGGTGCGCAGGCGCGCGGGGGGCGGTTGGCGCAGGCGCGGTGCGCGGTGGCGGAGCGCGGCGGGTGCCGGCGGTGCCACGATGTGGTTCGGCGGCTCCGTGCCCGCCGCCATCGCCGCCGCCAAGGAGCGCAGCTCCGTCTTCGTCGTGTTCGTGGCAGGTACGGTACGTCCCGGCGCCGCCCGCTGCGCCCCCGGGCAGGGCCCGGCAGCGCCCTGCCGGCTGTGTCCCGCCCGCCGAGCGGGATTTGTGCTGTGTCAGCTCCAGCCCGCGGTGTCGGTGTCCGGCCCCCGCCCGGCCGATGTGCCGCCTTCCCCCTCTCCGTTCCGCTCCCGTGCGCTGCGTTCGCGCCGGTGCAGCTCTCCGGGCTGCTTGGTGTGTTCTGTTTTTCCTCGTACCGACAGTGCGTGTTTCATAACGCTGTATTTGGAACCTGTAGGAATTCACATCGTCTCGTGTACGCTGCCTTTCTCTATGAAAGAAAGAGGGAGACAGTGCTGAGCTGCGGCAGGGGAGGTTTAGGTTGGATAGTGGGAGGATTTGTTCCCAGAACGGGTGTTGGACGTTGGAGCGGGCTGTCCGGGAGGCGGAGAGGTCCCTGGCAGTGTTTAGGGAAGGACTGGCCCTGGCACTCGGTGCCATGATCTGCTTGACAAGGTGCTGTTTGGCCAGAGGTTGGACTCGATGGGCTCAGAGGGCTTTTCCAGCACGATTGCAGCTGTGATATTCTGTGATTAGACAAGCTCATTAACTTATTTTTGAGCTTTTGCATATTTCTGTGCGTTTTTTCTTAAGATTTTAGTGTTGCCTTACGTGCTTGTGGCTTGTAGTTTTTCAGGTGCCTCATGAAACAACAACGTTGAATGTGTGAATTAGTGTTGTTCCCGTAAGAACTGTTGAACTGTGGGACTCACGTGGCTTCAAGAAGTTCACTCCCAAAGGGGATGTGAACAGAAAAGTGCAGTTAAATTCCTTTGCTAACAGAACTCTCCATGTACTTGGAGAACAGCATTTACTGCTGGACGTAAATGTACTGGTAAAAATCAGGGTCTTGTCAGACCACAGACTGGGCTGTGTTGTTGTTGGAGTAAGGGACAGGGTGGAGGAGTTCATGAAGAACCTCAGCCCTTGGGAAAGAGTCACATTGCACAATTTGGGAGGGACCCCAGGCTGGAAGAGTATGAGGAGTCCAACCCCTGAGGAGGAAGGAGCAGCAGAGACAAGGTGTGAGGAATTTACTGCAGGAAGGGTGGGGAGGAGGTACGTTTTTATTTGCCATGATCCTGCTCTGATTTTTGATTAGTAATAAGTTAAATGAATTTTTCCCCAAGTCAAATCTATTTTGCCTGCAAAGATTACAGGTGAGTGATCTCCCTATGCCCTTATCTCTTCCCATGAGCCTTCTATTACATTCTCTCCCCTGCCCAGCTGAGGACGGCAGTGACAGAGGGACTTTGGTGGGCCTCTGAGTCATTTCAACTTGATACATGTATCAGGGAGAAATGCATGTTGTAACTTATGTCCAGTACTTTTTGTGAAACAAAAGTTCTGCACAAAATGGGGCCCATTAGATTCTGATGTTGACTAGGTGAGTGTAGGAATATGTAGATATACGGGGGAGATAAATTTATGGTTGCAGGGATGTAACCTAGTTTTGTCATTGTGTCTGCTGTGAGGATTTGTTTTGTTTGTTTTATGAGCCCTGAAAAGGCAGAGCATGACTTCAGCCGGGCATATCTCAGAAATGGAAGAGTTGGAGAGTTCTGCTGCCATCTGGTCCACCCTGGGCACCGTGGGATCAGGGCAGCTGACCTGTGGCAGAGCTGACTGTGAAACTGTTCTGTTACATGTGCTGGGGAGCCCAAGAACTTTCTCACTGTGTGTGGAAGCAGCTGTTTTTGAAGGATGTGGAGTGCTGGAAGAATAGTCTGGTTTTGTGTTAGCAGAGATTGGTGTTGTTTGGGTAGAAACACATTTCAGACTGCACAGTGATGGTAACTTTGAGCCTTTACACTGCACACTTCCCACTGGAGACAGGCATTTGAAAGCACCTGGAGATCAGCCTTTCAGCAGTTTGGTTCTGTGCACTTCATCCATTAATATCTACGGGAAAAAATAATGAGAGAAATTGAAAATGTAAGTTAGCTACTGTATTGGGGCAGCCGTTGTGGAGGATAGCTATTAAGTACAGTTGACAAAAATTAGGAAATTCTAATTGGACAGATATGTCCGTCTGTTTTTGGCTTCTGCCACCATCTGCCTGTTCCTCTCTCCCTTTCCTCTGCGCTTCACTTACATTTCCTCTAGAAAATGAAGAAGTGGATTATTCTTTCTGCTGCCAGAATATTTTCTAGTCAAGCAAGGAATAATGTGGTTATTTATCTTAAAAATTAGGTGGCATATGTGATTGTAAGTGTATATTGTTCAAGCAGGTTTCTCCTAAAGTGTTTTTGCTTGCAGCCATAATCCCAGCATTTTTGAGCTAAGTGTTTAAAACCCTCATGGCATGTTCTGGTGACAGGATGCTGTAACGGTATTAAAGACCCCGTTGAACTCATGGGAAGTTGCAATAAAAGGGATTGCTCCATTTTCCCCAGAGAGCTTGAGGTGAAGCAGGTCTGCCTTAGGAAACTGGTTTGAAATACTAAGGTGAGATATTAGAGGCCTCTGGACACACCAGGTAAGGGGGTTGTGTTTGGGGAACACACAAGTTACTTTGTGGCATCAAGTAATTGCCAGCAGCAGTTTCCCTGTGCTGCTGCACAGGGAGAGGAGTCCTGACGGTGAAACAGGTCTGGCAACACAGGAGCCCCAGGGGATGGTGTGAAGTTGTATCAAGGGAGGGGAGGGCTGGGTATCAGGGAAGGCTGCTGTCCCCAGAGGGTGTTGGGCAGTGACACAGCCTCCTCAGGGAAGAGTTCAGGGAGAATTTGGAAAACGCTCTCTCAAAAGGAGGATATTTGGGGTGTCCTGTGCAGGGCCAGGAGCTGGACTTGATCATCTTTGTGGGTCCCTCCCAACCCAGGATATGTTATGATTCTTTGAACACCCCTGGTATCTTGTTGGTAGCTGTTCTGCAGATGATTTTGTAGCCTACAGAGTTAATTGGTCCTTTGATCCTTTGAGTCGCTAATATAAAGTTAATAGTTCATTTGATATAAAACCTCTTCTGTTCTGATGAAGATGTTGCAGATTATTTTATATCTTTCAAAAAGTTAGACATGTTCTGATCATGAAAATACCAGGCCACTCACAAAAAGTGCTTTTCAGAGTGAAAAAATGAAAGGCTATGTGTGTGACAATAAAAAGCTTTAAATTAAAATTTTTGTTTCTTTTTAATCATGTTTGTAGAAACCCTCCTCCTTTTGTTCATAACTTTATTGTTTTAATAATTGTTTTACAAAATGGTGATGTGCACACATGAGCTGTTTGTTAGTTATTTGTAGCCAAGATATATCAAGGCACTTTGCAAGTTAAATAAGTGAAATGACACGGAGGAGGTGAGTGGTTTAATGTGCTGGCTTCCTGGCATTTCCAGAATGGCAATCCTCTCTTAGTGAGTAGCTGTGAAATACTGGACATGGAAAAGTAAGTTGGGCTTATCTCTCCTTCTGAAAGGGAAACACTTCCTTGAGGACTGCATGCTGAGGGGAATTAAAGTCTTCTGACAACCTGTGATAGTTTTGAGTAAGTTCCTCATACAGGAAGTAAATTACTGCAGAAAAAGTCTTGTCCAGTATGTGAATGACTTGAGAAATTATCAATGTTTTCTCTATGTAGATTTTCCTGATCAGATTTAAGAGATGAGTGAGTGGTTAACAGATCATTCCAGGAAGTGCAATAGAGTGATGTTTTTGCTTGAGAAACAAGAAATCTGAGAGTTTTGGGAACTAGAATTATGAGGCTGTTATGCTGGCTCAGTATTTAGCAGAATTATTAATTATGTCAAGTTCTGTTGCACTTGACCTCTTGACTTCTGATGTTTTTCCTGTGACCTGGCAGTTTTGATTTCAGAATATGACTGTTAGAAATTGTAATAAATGAACCCTAACCCCTAAATGAGAAAGGGTTATCAAAACAAAAAGATGTATGAGAATAAGCAACTGTTCAGTGGGTTGTCACAATATTAATCAGTGCATCATGGCACAGAGCTTTATAAAATGTGAGCTATCAGCATTTTCATTCAGTCATCTCTCAGATTGTACTGTGAGCAGCCTCTGCCCTGTTTGTGTCTTTCAGCATTCTTTTTCCTCCAGCAGTTGGCTGTGTGGAAAAGTTAGTGTTAGGCAAGTATTTGGATATTTTTAGTAGCCTAATCAGATGAGCAGATGTCCTTTTGAAACAGTGTGTGGTGAAGCAGCTGCCTGCCTGTGAGCATTTGGAAACAGGAGAGGAGACCGAGCTGCTCTGGGCACAACAGCTGCATTGACCACACTTGGAAGCACTTCTCTTAGCAAGAGGAAAGGTTCCCACGTAAAATAGCCTAAATATTTGCTTGCTTATGCAGAAGAATAATAATAGAGGTAGATACTTTCTTACTTGCTCCAGTAATTCCAGGGAAAAATTGAGACATGTGGTTGAAACCACTTTTCCAAAATTGTATTTTTGATATGTGCCCCTGTGAGAGGCCTTTTGACCAGATAGCAGCACTTCACTGGGAGATTCCACATGTAACTCCTAATCTTTAACAAGTCAAAAATATTGCTTGGAATGGCAGCTGGGATGAAACAAACAAGTGGTTTGTTGTTGTCACTAAATAATGGATTACTATACTTCTATACTTGTGACTCAGATTCTTCATCAAGACTGCAGTCCACTCCAAGTTGCTAGGAAGTAATACAAATTGAAGATAAACGGTTGCAGGCCAGTGTACTTGTTGAAAAATGGTTAATATTCATCAGAATCTATAACCCACACCCTCACTAAACTGGTGTTTTAGGACGTAAATGTATGATTGATACGTTTCATCTGATTAAAATAACACCTCTGAATCTTTGGC